GCAAAGGGATTCTCCGTCAGAAACCATAACCGTCCACAGTCATGGTGTCCAAAGTTGCTCTTCTTCTCGCCGTGCTGGTGTGCAGCCAGTACATGGCCCAAGGCGTCTATGTCATCTCCAAGGGAGAGTGGGGCGGCCGTGCTCCCAGCTGGACCGTAGCCCTGGGCAACTACCTCGGCTACGCCATCATCCATCACACCGCCGGCTCCTACTGCGAGACCCGGTCCGCCTGCGAGGCTGTCCTGCGCAGCGTCCAGAACTACCACATGGACTCCCTGGGCTGGCCCGATATCGGCTACAACTTCCTCATTGGAGGTGACGGCAATGTGTACGAGGGTCGTGGCTGGAACCGCATGGGTGCCCATGCCGCCGAGTGGAATCCCTACAGCATTGGCATCAGCTACCTGGGCAACTTCAACTGGGACACCCTGGAGCCGAACATGATCGCCGCTGCCAAGAACCTGCTCAACGACGCCGTCAACCGTGGCCAGCTCAGCTCTGGATACATCCTCTACGGACATCGCCAGGTCAGCGCCACCGAGTGCCCCGGCACCCACATCTGGAACGAGATCCGCGGCTGGTCCCACTGGTCCGGCTAGAGGCTTACGATTACATAAATAAACCAATCCGAGCACAAACAATGGCCTCCATTTTTATTAGGGATAAATTGAGGATTAGAGAACTACTGGGGATCCCTTTGCAAGTCATCATTGAAGCCATGCACGAAGCCCCACTCCATGCCAGCGGTGTAGACGAAGAAGAGTAGAAATAGGACCCACAGGAATATGCCAGCTGAGCGACGGATGAAGAAGTTGAAGGTGAAGCAACAGCACAATGTGCCGACAATGGTGATCATAATGAATATGTAGCAGTTCTCTCCGTGGTAGCCATACAGCGGGGACGCCTTTCCCTCTTGTCTCACACTCTCATTATACCACAGGGACATGCCGATGCTCATGATGTTGTCTGCAAACAAAGGTCAGAAGTCGAATGTCACAGGAGTTAAGGCCAAGATCGCCAACTTACTGAGTAGTGGTCCACCGATTATGGCCGCAAAGACCATCTTCTCGTAGCCCTGGAGGGCGAGGGTGGCGTTTGTTATTAAATCCGCGGCCGAAATCGTCAACGAGCCAATGGTGATGGCCATAAAGTTTGCGGATATGTGAAAGACATTGGCCACCACAGAAGTCAGCACCTCGATTTCGCAGGTGCACACCCAGATGTTCACAATCGATGTTGTAAAGCTCAAGCCGACAAAGATCTAGGGGCGGTAGGATAGGGTATTTGAGGTTTCATTGAGTTTCTTAGTGATAGTTCTTACGATATGATAGAAGGGCGGCACATCGGTGCGACTGTGAGCAAAGACGGCTATGGCCAGCGGCACTGTCAGCAGGAAGGACCACTTTGCGTAGGAAAATTGGAGGATGAGATACCAGTTGTCGTATTCGTCAACAATCAGTGCTGGAATAAGAGCATCATAAGGCATCATCTCAAGCAATCTCCCGCTCACCATCAATGCCTACAGTGCACAAGGACCATGTAGAAGAACGGCGCCAAAACGATCTGCATGCAGTTGAGCAACTTGCTCCAGCCGTGCTTCTCCTTCTCATAGTCCACATAGGGAATGAGCAGCAGCAGCAGGAATACCAGTGGAGACCCAATGATCAGATAGGAGCGCCAGCACCAGCCGGCCAGCTGCCATTCCTCCATATCGATGGGATTCAGGGAGCCGAGGAAGTCGCTGAATAGATACAAGTTCTTCGGATTTCGTTCGTTATGTAGCATTTTTCCAGTGGCCGTAAAGTCAACACGTTCGTGATGATCCACCGACTTGGATGTGGTAAAGAAACTGACATTGACCCCGTTACCCCTTATAAAGCGACGTCTTTCCGCGAGATTGCGGCGGAAGTTCGAAGTGTCCGTGATTATCATTTCGTCGTGAACTTTGAGTAAGTATATCAAATGTCGTTTTTCTGCTATCTCTTGGTCCCGCTCTGCGCTAGGTGGCCTAGACAGCAGTTCGTGGAGTTCCCTACGAAGTTCTTGAGGATGCAAATTGTAATTCATTTTGTGGTCTAACAATCCTCTCACTTACTTTTAATGCCGTGGCGCAGAATCAAGAGATCGATTACATTGATGGACACATAGATAATGTAAATGGAAATCATCACTGGAACGAAGAGGGTTCGAAGAATTGAGTGCAGTGCGAATGTGGGACAGGGAAACTGAGGAAACCCACCAGCACTCTTGGCAATAGTCACCTTTCCGCCGAATAAAATGATGTATCGGGCCAGCTCCACAGAAAGCAGCAGAAACAGCAGGTCTCTGGTGGTGCTGGGACCGCTCAACTTGAATGGCTTCAGGAAGCAGATCATGCCGCCGCTTAGGAGTATGATGACCAGTGCATTGCCAACGACTATTGAGAATATCGCTGCATTGGCCCTGATGGGCGCCAGGTTGCCGATAATGTCGGGTATTGCATTGCCGAAGGACAGGAGGGTCACGCCCGTCAGATACTCATTCATGTGCAGCCAAACCGAGACGATTTTCAAGGCAGGAGTAAAGCTATGAAATGTGGAATAGCAGCATGGGAAATCAATGGCAAATCTCAGCGTCAGCGACTTACAACAATCGAATGCTCGATGACATCAGCTCCAGAAATGCGAGGCATATCAGAATGAAGACAAGCACCATGCATATCTCGGTGAGTGTATCGTGAATGTTGAACGAGCAGTACATCATGCGAAAGTAGTTGAATATATTCATGATTTGTTCGCAGTGCTTCACTTCGATGGCCATCTTGCAACGCTTGCCATAAGGGAGTCGCATCATCGTCATGCAGCTCATCTGCAACAACAGGAGTTGAGTTTTGTGTAGGTTTTGTGGATTGGTGGTTGCAGTGGGAATAAGTACTTACATCCGAGAGATAGTTACTGAATTCATAGGCAACGGTTAAGCCACTTTTGTTTAAATTCTCAGACATTGTGCAGATACTTTTCCCTTTCTCTGAATACTGCCTGAATTACAATTGAGTTTCGATTTAGTTCACAGACAGAAACTGTACGGCCAACTTGGTGTACTGAAAACTCGCAACTTTGTTCCGCAGAAAGAGCCATAATGTGGCTGATGTTCAGGATTCTACCAATGGATAACTCTCTTCCTCTGGAGTTGCCACAGATCGTAGTTATCGTGGAATGCATGACAGGAAATGCACTAAGGGAGTCAATCGATTGTTTGAGTACACTGAGTAAATCAGCCTTTTGTGTTTCAATCACTTTAAACCTTAAACTTCAATCCAATAATCTAATCTAACTCGTAATATACTCGCCTGGCCATGCATACTGAAAATGATGATAATAAGACCTTCTATGCCATGAACTATCATGAGGTAAGTAATCTCCCACAATTGGAGCTCGCAGCTTAACAGACCAAGTGACGCCGCAGATGAGTTGCTTTGGCATAATGGACGTCGACTATGAGGATCGATGCATGTTGGCCGACAAGTTGGCCGAGTGTGACGTTCTCTCGACCATGGTCCATTATTTTACTCTTCTATATTGTGACCTGAACATACGGAGCAAGTTGACCGAGCTGTGCGCGCTGTTCATTATGCTCCTGGTGATATTTGCTCTGATGGTCACCATTAGCATTATCGTCGAGAGTCAGTGAGTGATGGTGATCCGATGTCTGATGTTGATCTGCTCATGCCCAGTTGTATTTCCTCTCAGTTTCAGTCCCATGCTGAAGATTATTTCGATGAAGATGGGCCTGAGTGAGTATGTGGCCGGCTCGATGCTGCTCGCCATTGGAAATTCCATGCCGGACGCACTGGCAAACATGTTGCCAGTGAGATCCGAGGCACCCATGTACTCCATTTCCATCAGCAATTCATTGGCCATCGTTCTGGTTGCCGGCGGAATGGTCTGTTACCTCAAACCCTTCAAGATGAACCCTCACAACACCCTGCGGGATCTCCTCATTCTGATGCTGGCGTGTGAGACCCTGACTTTTGTATTGCTCAGGCACGAGCGCCTCTACGCCAGAGATGGTATCTGTAAGCGGTTCCAAGATCTCCCCTGAATTATCTCCCTAAGCGCAACCCGTTTCAATAGATCTGATCTGTGGCTACTGCGTTTATGTGCTGGTAAACATTTCCGATCTCATCGTGGTGCGCAAGACCATCAAATGTGAGTATTAACATTACGATTGAGTCTTTGGATTGTGTTTCTTGAGTCTGATTGCTTTCAGCGCTGCGTGCACAGATTTCGGAAGCAATTCTCAGTCCAGAGTCTGAGGAACGCAATGCCCAGATAGGCCGGATGCGGTACACACTTAACGAATTGGAGAAGGATCATCAGCTAAGTATTCACCGACACAGGGGCAGACGGCGAAGCTCCTCCTGGAGATTTCACAGCGATAGCGAAATTCCGCACTCTGCCAGGAGGTTTTCCTATGGATTCACCACACCCAGGCCAAAGCCAACAACTCCCGAAGTGGATTTTGAGGCAACACGCACGATACTGCATTCGAATCAGAATTCGCGGAACCTTTTTCTGTTCGCAGATTTCTGGGAGACCGTACTCCCCCTCGATCTGGAGAAATGGGCTTTTTCCGGTTGCTGTACGCGCTTTCTGATGATATTGAAAGCACCTTTGGAGTTCTTCTGTACGATATTTCTGCCCATGGTGGACTACGAGAAGGATAAGCACGGCTGGAGCAAGTTGCTCAACTGCATTCAGATAGTCACCTGCCCCGTGTTTATGATCATGCTTTTGGAGTGTAAGTGCCAGTAATCCAATACCAGTTTTCCATTTGACCTTAGCCTGACCTTCACCGTAGCTATTATTGTGAACAAGTTCACTGGCTGGTTCATTGAAATGCAATTCACGTATGCCACGTGGAGTCTGTGCATCACAGTTCCCTTAGCTGTCTTTACATTTATAAATTCCCGAACCGATTTACCGCCCCCGTACCATTTGGTGAGGCATTGAGCTATCCGTTGCCATTGAGCCGCCCATTAATCACTCTAATCGTACTCCAAAGCTATTTCTTGGTCTGAATGCCGCCGGTTCGCTGCTAATAATGGCAATCTTTGCTGCCGAGCTCGAGTTCCTGTGCTGCATTGGGGGACTGATCCTGTACCTGTCCGAGCCCTTCGTGGCCGTCACCTTTCGATCGCTGGCCGGTTCTATCTCGGACATGATTGTGGCCGTATCCCTGGCCATGGAGGGCTACGAACAGATGGCCTTGGGCGCCATCTTAGGTGCTCCCATCTTCAGTAAGTCACGATAAAGTCACGTGTCCACTGGCCTAATTTTCGCATCACAAAATCCAGATATAATGAGTGGCATGGGCCTGGCAATCTTGTTCCAGAAAACTGTCCGCCATGGCCCCACATTTTTTCTGTTTGGAAAGCTTGGCGAGAACTGTTACATCTTCTTCTATCTGGCCATCCTATCCACGTTGTGGTGGACCTTGACATTCAACTTCTTCGCTCGCCGCTCCGCAGGAGTATTCTCGTTTATTTTATATGCAGTTTTCATCATGTATTCCGCCCTCGTTGAGTGGCACGTCGTCCATGAGTTCAGCAAAGATAGTTACATTGCTCCGAAATAAAATATATTTATGCCAGTCAATGTGTCGCCCCATGTTCTTTGATAAACCCCATTGGAGTGGCCGTTCTTGCAAATCAGAGGACTGTGACGAGGCTTGTTCCGAAAGGTTCTTCCCCCAACACGAATTAATGATTAGTGGCATTGTAAATCAGTTTTATATAGTACCTCGATAAGATCCCATTCAAGTTTTAGTGGATCGATTCGGTATAAAAGCAGCTCATCGGCAAAGGGATTCTCCGTCAGAAACCATAACCGTCCACAGTCATGGTGTCCAAAGTTGCTCTTCTTCTCGCCGTGCTGGTGTGCAGCCAGTACATGGCCCAAGGCGTCTATGTCATCTCCAAGGGAGAGTGGGGCGGCCGTGCTCCCAGCTGGACCGTAGCCCTGGGCAACTACCTCGGCTACGCCATCATCCATCACACCGCCGGCTCCTACTGCGAGACCCGGTCCGCCTGCGAGGCTGTCCTGCGCAGCGTCCAGAACTACCACATGGACTCCCTGGGCTGGCCCGATATCGGCTACAACTTCCTCATTGGAGGTGACGGCAATGTGTACGAGGGTCGTGGCTGGAACCGCATGGGTGCCCATGCCGCCGAGTGGAATCCCTACAGCATTGGCATCAGCTACCTGGGCAACTTCAACTGGGACACCCTGGAGCCGAACATGATCGCCGCTGCCAAGAACCTGCTCAACGACGCCGTCAACCGTGGCCAGCTCAGCTCTGGATACATCCTCTACGGACATCGCCAGGTCAGCGCCACCGAGTGCCCCGGCACCCACATCTGGAACGAGATCCGCGGCTGGTCCCACTGGTCCGGCTAGAGGCTTACGATTACATAAATAAACCAATCCGAGCACAAACAATGGCCTCCANCGAATTAATGATTAGTGGCATTGTAAATCAGTTTTATATAGTACCTCGATAAGATCCCATTCAAGTTTTAGTGGATCGATTCGGTATAAAAGCAGCTCATCGGCAAAGGGATTCTCCGTCAGAAACCATAACCGTCCACAGTCATGGTGTCCAAAGTTGCTCTTCTTCTCGCCGTGCTGGTGTGCAGCCAGTACATGGCCCAAGGCGTCTATGTCATCTCCAAGGGAGAGTGGGGCGGCCGTGCTCCCAGCTGGACCGTAGCCCTGGGCAACTACCTCGGCTACGCCATCATCCATCACACCGCCGGCTCCTACTGCGAGACCCGGTCCGCCTGCGAGGCTGTCCTGCGCAGCGTCCAGAACTACCACATGGACTCCCTGGGCTGGCCCGATATCGGCTACAACTTCCTCATTGGAGGTGACGGCAATGTGTACGAGGGTCGTGGCTGGAACCGCATGGGTGCCCATGCCGCCGAGTGGAATCCCTACAGCATTGGCATCAGCTACCTGGGCAACTTCAACTGGGACACCCTGGAGCCGAACATGATCGCCGCTGCCAAGAACCTGCTCAACGACGCCGTCAACCGTGGCCAGCTCAGCTCTGGATACATCCTCTACGGACATCGCCAGGTCAGCGCCACCGAGTGCCCCGGCACCCACATCTGGAACGAGATCCGCGGCTGGTCCCACTGGTCCGGCTAGACTTTGTCATGGAAATACAAATACTACAAAAATGAAATCTTAATTCTTGGATTGATCTGGGGCAGTGGACAACGAGTGTATGCATGGGAGGCAGATTCGTTTAAGGATCGCTGCCATGTAAATGTTTAATGTACTGGACAAAAGAAAAGTCAATTTCCAAAAGGGTGGGCTGGGTGACCGGAGGGCCGCTCTCCATCTTCGTTGGGCACCCAAACACTCACGTTCGAGCTGTCAAAGTATTGCATTCGTTCAAATTGACCGAAAAGTTTTCTAATTTCCAGCAACGAAGCAACGAATTTTCCACTGATGCGGGGCCACATCGGAGCGGAGGCGAGACGAGACGCGAGGATGTGTGGAAGGATGGAAGGAAGCCGTTGAACAGCCCCATTCAAGCATGAGAAACTTGTGGAATATCATTAAGTCGTCGTCGCACATCTCACGCTCAAATTGTTGAGCTAAACTTTGACACAAACTTGACGGCTTCGTTTTAACAATGGCAGAGGACGCAGTCGTGGCCCAGTCGGACAAGGGACAATGAGAAATTCGTGCTAAAAATAAGGAATGGAGCTCGGTAACTTTTTGATTTAAGACGTGCAATGTAGCTACAAATTTTAATGCACTGCTCCACCCAAAACTCGGACAAGAGCTTCTCAATTGGTAGCATTAACCACAGCGTAGTTAACAAAGTAATTCTGAATAGTTTGAAGCTTTTTTGTATGCTTAAGCTTTTAGTTTGAAGATGAATTTCGGTTCCCTTTTGCCCCGTGCTTCGTTGACCAACAATGAAACCGCAAAGCGCATTTGGGGGGAGGGTTAAGTAGGGGACTTGCTTCAATTGCTCCCCCTCCCGGTAGGAGTTCAGTCTTGCGCCAAAAAGATCCAGCTGTGGGTTGGACCGTTCCCCGCCTTGAACTCAAAAATAATCTGGATCTACGGGACCATCATTTAGAGTTATTGAAGCTAAATCAATGTAAATATTTTAAATTGAATTTATCTGAAATTGCATTAAGGAAACTTGATTAATCCGTAACCACGATCAGAGATTATTTGAGATTGTCAGAATGTAACGGTGAATAATCGTATGCATACTATTGTCATCACTCTCACTCTTCCTTGTGGCTGTTGTTTCATTACGGCATAAGCTGATTAGAGATGAGAAGTTCGGTTCTCGCGGAACCAGTGACTCGCTTGCTCCAGCCGAAACTGGCTCACGTCCAAACAGTTCTGTGGTACGCGTATCTGTATCTGCGAATACGCGAATGAAATAAGTCAGTTATCTTGACATTGTGTCCATTGTCCATTAGAAGCGTGTGCAGAAGAATGAACAGAGTCTGACCCCTACTAGCCATGGTGAAAATTAATGATGCTTGAGGACAGTAATCTAATCGAAATTCCTCTCTCATACGCCCCCTATCTGGTGTAAGAATTTGATTTAAATCATATCAGCCACTTCATCTTTTTCAAGACGCTCGTAAATTAGTAGAAAACCCATTGATAACAAAATAAACAAAATAAATAAACACAATTTATGGCAGAGTTATATTGGAAAATCGTATGACTTCAATGAATTCTACACTCTGTACTTTACTTTGTACTGCAATGTACTTTATCTGTGCAGAAAATTTACACGTCAATAACAAGAAGTCGCTGCCATGGCGCCAGGCACTGCGACTGCGTCATCTTTTACAGCAAGCTTTACAGCTCGAAAGGGTGATTATGGATGTCTGGAGACTTCCAATTCGAATATCAACAGTTTTATCCGGCTAACATTATGGCATCCTTCGAAGTCCTTTCACCATAAAAGATAATTGCATGGCAATCTATAAATATTTCCCATAACTAAAGTAGCTTTTGTATTGGAGGTCGTCGAAAGTGGGCAAATTATGGGTCTGCAGGGAAACTTTAGACAAATTAATTAGTGACACTCGTGCTGATTAGAAGTCCGATTGGGTCGTCATCACAGCCATATCAGGATGTGCTCCAGATAGCCGCCATATCAGATGTAGGCTCGCGCGAACGCGACTGACTCGCGCGACAGTTCATCGCTGCAGGCGATAAGCCTGCTCGGGTTCGGTGGGGGTATATAAGGAGCAATTGAGTGGCACAACGCACAATCCAATCAATCTTCAACCATGGCAAACAAAGCTCTCGTCCTTCTGGCTGTGTTCCTCTTCGCCCAGGCCGCTCTGGGTGTGAACATCATCAGCAAGTCGCAGTGGGGAGGCCGCGCGGCAAAGAGCAAGACCACCCTGGGCTCGTACCTGAGCTACGCTGTGATCCACCACACAGCCGGCAACTACTGCACCACCCAGTCCGCTTGCCAAACTCAGCTGAAGAACATCCAGAACTACCACATGGACTCCCTCGGCTGGGCTGACATCGGCTACAACTTCCTGATCGGCGGTGATGGCAACGTATACGAGGGTCGCGGCTGGAACGCGGTGGGTGCTCATGCCACCAACTGGAACTCCAAGTCCATTGGCATCTCCTTCCTGGGTAACTACAACAGCGACAAGATCACCTCCGCCCAGATTACCGCCGCCAAGGGTCTCCTCGCCGACGCCGTCTCTCGCGGACAGATCGTATCCGGATACACTCTGTATGGCCACCGTCAGGTCAGCGCCACCGAGTGCCCCGGCACCAACATCTGGAACGAGATCCGCACCTGGTCCAACTGGAAGGCTTAAGCGATCTTAGCTCGATGCATATAAAAAAAACAAAAAAAAAAACTGAATGGCAATTAAAATCTTTAAAATACAGTACACACGCTTAAAACATAAAAAAACCACTTTTGGTACTTTTTTCTGCGGGACTTTCCTCGAATTCAACGCTTGACTTGGTGCGATGATCAGAATCATCGTTATCAAGTCTCATGGAAAGCTTGATTAACACATCATAGAACTCGCTTACAAGCCCGACCCCAAAGGAGCAACCACAAGAGTGACTCATTTAATCATATATGTAGAAACGACGGTACACTACAGATTCGCCAGAAGTCACATGTCTTCAAAAGAAAATTCAGGGAATTACATTTTGAATTAAATACAAACTAATATTTATTCGAATATCTTTGCATATTTAGTATACAGTATACATAGAGATATCGTACACATATAAACGATTCGTTTGCTGTTAATTTGATACATAATAGTAAAATCTGGGTGATAATATGTATAGCTTCGTGGCTGTTGGGGTATGTACGCCATGTGTTCCGTATCAAGTATCGAGTATATATGTAGAATATGCATAGAGTCTTACGAGATAGCTTAACACATAGAACATCCATATCCATATCCATAGACAGAGCTTTCGGGCTGAGGGCTGCGGGTGCCAATCGAATTAATCTGGTAACGACCTACTTGGGCTTAATCTAATTGAAGTTCTCATAATTAACCAAATGAAAACGTTTATAACAGGTTCTTGTTGTTGTGGTTGCATCTAATTTCGAATATGGGATGTGGCCGAAAAGGAATTGAAGCTTTTCGGGGCCACCCCGAAATTGTGGTTTTGGTTTTTTTGGAAATCTGAGTAGAAGCAGTCATATAAATATGTATGTTTAGAGCATATAAAAGACAATCTGCTTGCGTTTTCATTTTTTACCTTAAACAACAATATAATGAGCGACGGCTATAAATGGAGGTTACTTCAAAAACACTTTTCAACACATTTATGCATAAATATATATACATATACGTATATATCCGTATATATATCTGTATAGGTAGAGGTATATAATGCATTAATGTATAGGGTTGTACCAGATTGATGGAGAAAACGGAATGAGCCAAGTAATGAAAACCGAAAAAAATTGTGCGGCTGGGCAAGACGAGGATGTGGATGGTAGTAATGCGAGCATGTGCACATGTCCACATCACGATTACATAGTGAGAAACAAACTTAAAGAAATCACAACTTAGGCCTGGCTCTCGTCGCGGCCAGGTGTTGTGTGACGATCCACCGGGTGGGGAGATGGCACCTGCACTTCGGCATCGGCCACATCGTTGTAGGGCGGCGGTGGCGGAATGCCCTCCATCACCTCCAAGCCTGCGTCGATCACCTCCAGATCATCATCATCATCTGAAATGGGACCAAGGGCGGCCTCGCTGCGTCGCATTGGAGGCGTGTTGGCATTCACGTGCATCGTGTTGTTGTTGTTCGGCATTTCGTTGTTGTTGTCCATGTTTTCATCCACATTAGAGGCGGCATTTGCAGTGGCCGCTGCATTCAGAGCCACGAACAGGGGGGCCACACCAGGATTTGCCTCAGCACCGCGAGCTTCTCCGGCCTGATCCTCTTGGTAGTTGGACATGGCCACCTGATAGGATGGAGGCGGTGCCTGCTTCAAGTACTGGGCAATGGCCTCATCATAGTTGGGCAACAGAGTGGAGTAGGCCCTCTCCTCAGCCCCAAAGGTACCGCCCACACCATGGACACCGGAACCAGTCTCGAGGAATGGGAACAAGGTACGGATATGTTGCTGACGCAGAGTCAAGTACTTGTAGCAGCGCCAGACGATACCAATGCAGTAGGCCTTCAGGAATACGATGCACACGAAAACGACGAGAACAACCACGACGAGCTCCTCGGGCGGCAGCTCCAGCAGCTTCTCGCGCCAGGGCAAGCGGTGAGACTCGGCAATGATGCGATGTATGGCCTGCAGGTAGCACAGATAGCCAGCGGCGGTGAGGCTTAGCAATGGGATAGGAAAGAAAGTGATGCTGGTGAGGTGGTTCACAAGAAAAGAGTTAAAATATTCAGCTTACGTGGTTATGGCAAAGTCAAACAGCTGCAGACAGAAGAAGGGCAACAGATGCGACGGTTTCCCCTTGATGGTTCCATAGATCATCATTAGCGTGATGGCTATCATGCAGGTGCACACCAGTCCGCCCATGTCAAAGTTCTCTGCAAGCATTTCAATACAATAAAAGAAATGCAAATTAATAATCCATCCACGCATCCACTCTGTGTCACTGCTTACGCTCACGCTTACGATAGTTGAGGGAATGGTCGCGGTAGGCGTAGGGCGGGTCCACTTTGCTCAGGGGCGTCGGCAGGGCAGGTGCATTGAGATCCACGGTATAGTCGTGGCTGCCACTTTCTAGCTCGTCCATCATCTCGGGATTGCGCCAAATGACCGCCAGAACGCTCAGGGCCAAAATGTTAAGGAACTGCAAATGGGAAGGAGACGAAGACATAAATAATCGACTGACAATCACTGTCAAGAAATATATTAAACATTCTTCAAACAAATGAATACAACTTAAAAGAGTTTAGCACTGATTGGTTGGCTCTAAGGAGTCCAAACTTTGGATTAAGTGATGCCTGTTGAGGCACTCGACGCCGTTCGGGGCCATTGCAGACTCCAGCGATTGCCAGTAATGCGTGGGCTGGGCCTGCAGGTGGTTGAGATATTCAATGAACGCTTGGTATGAAAAGTCCAGTGCCACCTTGCAGTTAATGCGATGGTGGTGTCCGCACGCGGGGTCGAAGATCCAAGTCCTTTGCTCAGGTGTGCTCATAGCCGTTTTGAGGAGGTGACGCTTGAAGCCCTCTTGATCGACGCCATAGTAAATTCGCGTGGTGGTGTAGGCAATGCCATTGTGGATCTGCTGGCGCACATCCGAAACAGAGGAAACCCTCAACACTTCCAAGGCAGAAAACTCAGAATTCTGTAGTCGTACCAGATGCCAGGGCGCGATCAAAGGAAAACGCACACAAGACGTGACTTCTGTTACTTTGTCCTGCCGCTGTGGCCAATGAAAATTCAACCAACGCACTGCAGACATGAACACCTCCAGCTCGGAGTTGACGCCCAGCATAGAGGAATTAAGCAGAAGAAGTAGCGCCTTCAGCGGTAGATCGAGGAACTCCTCGGAGGCCACAAGTGTCAGAAAGAACTTGGAAATTCGCTGAAGGAAACGCCGCTGAGATCGCTCCATGTCAAGGCGTCTCGCCTCTACGTACAACAATGCGGCAGCGTCCTCTCTGCAACCGTCCAGCAGGCAATTCTCACACTGGCGCTCCAGCTGGGTCATCTTCAAGAACTTTGCCGCTCGCAGGACCTCCAGCAGGCCCAGGCGGGGCAGGAGCGGCTTGTCGGTGAGCATCCAATCGTAGATAAGACTGAAACACCTTGGGGTCACCTGATTCTCCGGCAGCTCCAATTGCAATTCGTAGCCGGCATCACGAAATGACTGTGAGTAGCTCCGCAGAACCATGAAATGCACAGGGAATTGACAGTCGCCGATTTTAATAACCGTATCGGTCCTCAAACGATCTTTGGCCATCTTCACCAGTAGCTCATACAGATTGGGCTTGTTCTTCATTTGGCAAGGGGTTTTCTCCAGTGTCGGCCACTTATCGGGCGCGATATAGCCCAAGGAGAAGAGTGAGCGCTCTTTATAGGCGGCAGCTTTGCTGGGGAGGGGCGCAACATGGCTCAAAGCTGTGTTATTGTACAGCAAGACAGAGCCATTCGCCTCGCTCTCAACGCTATCCCCAGAGCAGTTACTCCCTTCCGTCTGCTCCTGCTCCCCTTCCTCCAGGCTCTCCTCTTGATAGTAGCTCGGGAAGGCGCTGTCCGAATATGAGTCTTCAGTGTCTCCTTGATCTTGAAGCGATCTCATTGGAAATGAGCAATTATTGCAATTTCTGTGTGTCAAAATGTATAGTCAAGTGCTAGTTTTGATATTTTTAAATGACAGGAGAGGCAAATACGTGTCATCTGTATAAATACAGATTAATTATTCTTTCATCTAAGCACAAACTTTGGAATACCTTGAGGGGTGTTTGGGTATTCTACGGCTTATCATGACGATGAGCTGGCAGGCAAAAAAAACCACAACAGATAAGGAAGTTTCAGCAGAGATTTGATTTGCGATTTATGTGCTGTGCTGGTAAGTGACATTTGAATTAACAATTCTCAAATTTATGGCTGTTGAAGCTGTTGACCGAACAAAAAGATATTGTACATATGTGCATATCAGAGCGGAGAGCAAATGTTTGCATATCATCTGGCGAGTACGTGGAGTTTATAAAAATAAATGAAACAACTCATGGATTCGGGTATCTGCTGGTGCTGGTGCTGGTGCTTGTGCTGTTTGCACATATGGCCCGTGCTTAAACATCTCAGGTTCAAGGCTCTGTTTTCACTGCAAATTGACCTTTAATGCGACACTGCTTATTGTGGAAGAGCATTGTTTGTTTTTAGTAGTTCGAAGAAGCGGTAAACCCCATCAGAGATCGGATCGTTATATCATTAAATCCAATCGGAAAATGCATTGTGCACCGTTGCGCTATATAAATAAATACGATTGTTTGAACAGCCGACACTCGACCATTGAAGGGGCAAACAAAGAAAAGGGGAAACTCGCCGTCGAAGTGGTATTGAATTGCACTTGAAGCTGATAAGTGAAACGGAAAACCATCGAAAAGGTTTGAGAGCTTTGGTTGCTGATTCTGCTGCTGCTCAAACTGTAATCAATTTTGCGACGCGTGACAAGTTGGTTGCTGCAAAACGAGAGGGCGGCAAGGCGGCTGGCTATGAAAGCGTGTCGCAGGGGACCCCAATCATAAGAGGCGGAACGAGCACTGAAATACATGAATAATGCCAATTGCTGATGCCAAGTCATGTGCAGGCAACGCCTCCCCACAATGGGCTGGAGTAGGGGCTTTTTTCAGCTGCGAGCTGGACCAATTGGCACTTCTTTAGGCTTGTGTAACCGCACGGATTCGGACCGACACTTCCGTATTAGCAAAAGTAATGCAATGGGGATCAGATGACGCACGGCTTCCGTTGGTACTCCGATTGACGTCACAGGGGGAGGAAAACCTAAGCGGTGAAAGCCGGACGAACGTGTGCAGTGCTTAAGTTTTAGAGTTGCTGGATGCGTGCAGTTTGTGAGGAACTGCGCAGGCATGGTCAATTGATTTTTCCCCTCCTTGACACTGAACAGGGTCAAATATGAAGGAAGCGGCAGCAACTTGCATGCGTGGGAATGCAGGTGTGTATACACAATTCGAGACGCCTGCTGCAGCTGTGTGTGTGGGTGGGGTAAAGGTCAGAGGGTGGTAAGTGAGTTTCTTACCAAATGCCACAATCCAATCATCAGGGTGGCCGTATGGACATGCAGACCAAAACAGCACGTAAACTCCTTGTGCTGCCGATTGGCGCTGCTGCTGGTGGCGGTGCCATTGCTGTTGTTGTTGTTATTGCTTGGATGATGACTACGTTGCGGACCCATTTTGACGTGAATCCTTAACATTGCACGCCCCCGCAGACAAGAGGGGTGCCACAAGCTGCAACGAAAGCAAAACACCAGCCATTAATTATATTTATTATCATTTACTCGCGTAAATGTATACATAAGTACACATACACATCTGCGGTTACATTCAATGTCAATGTGTGTGTGTCTACGTGTGTGTGTATATTGTTGTGTGCCACTTTTTCTGATGACTACTTAGAAATTTTCACAATTGTTTTTCTTATGGGTTTAGTTCCGCAGTGTATGTTAATTTTCGTATAACCACTCATTAGATGTACCTTTTGGGGTGTTAATTAGCTGCAACTAGCACTGAATACGAACTAAAAACTCTATTTTTATGGACTTTTAATGAACTGCGCAACTAGAAAAGTGTGACCGCGGAATTATCGATAAAATATACCGACAGACCCTCGTAAATATACCAAAATATACCCTTTAATTTTCAAAATATACTGTAAATATACCGTAAATCTTAAATAATTTTTCTCGACTTTGATCTTCTGTTTAATTTTACCAGCTAGTTAGGAATCTTAGAATTAAAATTGTAATTTTACTTGAATTATCATTTAGTTCTCCACAAGATAGGAGGGTTTTCATGACCTATCTTTATTGAACTGATTCCAAAATATGGTTAACACTAAAAAGGTAAACAAAAAACAAAAGTTACGTGGGCGGGAATAAAATGTTACTTCATTTGACAATTTGTTGCTGGCCAACCGATGGAATAGTGTATGGGCACTTGAATATTGAAATTCCATTTTACCAGCTGCTTTTAAGTGAAAGTATATTAAATGTATATTTTGTAACCGTAAATGTCTATGTCGGTATATTTTTGAGGGCCATGCAGTATTTTTAATCGATAAGTCGGCAGTCACACTCCTCCCGCGGAAAACAACAAACCACCCATTGCATCCCACTGTACTCGTGGTGCATTGCTCTCTAATTTATACGTATTAGTTTGGTTTTTGTCGAATCCATGAATGCATGTATCATATTCATTCATCTTTAACGCTACCTTGATAAAACTCCAATGGTAAAAGAGGAGTTTGAATTCGAAAGCCGCAAGAGAAACCAACACGTCAATTGATTAAGGCCAGAAACTTTTAACGAGGCCAGAATTCATCGCTCTTTTTGCCGATGAGCAGACGGTAGATACGGGAGAATCCGATTATGACTTGAGCGTACATTTGGAGAAATGGGAAATTTGTGTGAAAGAGTCAGCAACGTATAAACTGTTCAAGGTACATTTGACCACAATCTCGTCCTGTTGTGGAGCTTTCCCTAGATGAAGGCTTTATAAAAAACCCCACCCTTTTCACCTGGTTGAGCAATTTAAACTCTAGCGGGACTCAACTATTAAACCAAAAATACCCCACAAATATGCGGAAATATAATAAATACGTTCACATTTTTTAAATGTACAGAAGATGTAGACCGCATCCTACAGCCCAGTACTCAGACACGCAAAATATTTTTGCGACAGAAATATCCATATTTGTATTTCGCGCTGTGCCCAGCCAGTATGACCAAAGTAGACCAAAAGCCATTCTCTTTGGGTTTTGTTTTGTTTGCACAATAAAACCCGTTGAGAATTCCAATTTTGTATGAACTCCGGAGTAGAATGTTATTGCAGAGTGGATATGGAGCTAAGCCAAATATATCTTTCGCCACTAATCATACAGTATAAAGTACAGGTAGGTTAGTGCTTTCGCTTAGCGATGGAAGAATTTAATCGGCAAGTTTTGTGGTACATTTTCTGATAATCTCAGTTGTTTTGGTATTTTTGGCAGTGACAGCTTAGTATTTGCCGAAATCTGGGCACACCAACTGTCAACCCGACTTCCGCTCTTTTCTACCCAACTCGCGGAACAAAATGCAGCAAAAGGTATTTGTGCTTGTGAAAAAACGCCGAATTGTATGTGAGATATCGACTGAAATAATGCAAATGTTCTTGTTTTGCAGCGCAGAGAACCCGTGCAGGCAGTTCAAGTCTTCGGACGCAAGGTGTGTGTGCTATAAAGCATTCAAATCAAACGAAATTTTCGCACGTGTCGCACACAGATAGCGCGTCAATCCCCAGTCGACGCGCTCTGCCCGCCCGACCGACCGCCGCTTCGGTGCTGAGGTTATGTTTGGGTGTGCGATGATTTTGATTTGGTGTGAAGCTGATCCATTGCTTGCCATTGTAAATGGGTATTAATGATTCGATTTTTGCAGAAAACCGCCACCGCTGTGGCCTACTGCAAGCGTGGCAGTGGTCTCCTGAAGGTGAACGGACGCCCTCTGGAGCAGATTGAACCCAAGGTTCTGCAGTACAAATTGCAGGAGCCTCTCTTGTTGCTCGGCAAGGTATATACTCCATCCTCGTCTATGGTTGTTGCTTTGGACATTAAATGATGAAAACAATTATCCCGAACTTGAAGCCCAATGAGAATACAATATTTTCTGACCAACGAGCATCATTCGGAAGTGTTTTTGACCCCTTTAAGGCATCCATTGATATATTTTTTTCTCTCGACTTGCAGGAGAAATTCGCCGGTGTGGACATTCGTGTGCGCGTCAACGGTGGTGGTCATGTCGCCCAGATCTATGCCATCCGTCAAGCTATTTCCAAGGCCCTAGTTGCCTTCTACCAGAAGTGTAAGTACTTTTCGATAAACCCAACAAATAGTGGGTGGCCTTAATAGGTTTTTGTCTGAGAGAACACACACTCTTTGGCAAATGATTCAATAAGGGCCAGACTGACATCCATTATGATACGCATATACCAACCAAGCTGGCATTATGCGATATGCAGATTGGGTGATGCATCAAAAACATATGATATTAAGGCACCTTCTACCAGATTTTTGTTGGAAGTAACTGCAATTTCCAGCGAAAGACTTGAGCAAGGGAGAGCAACTGCATGTCGCAATCAAAGAGAGCAATCGGCAGATTTGACCAATGCTATTTGGGGCTTCATCGACACCAAAAGCTGAGAATCCTGTAAACCTAACAGATTTGTCCTTAAAAGTTTTTGTTTTAGAGAATTTAAACTCTTTTGCAAATGATTCAATAAGGGCTAGAACGAACCACATTATGAGCATATACCAACCAAGCTGGCATTATTTTTAATATGCAGATTGGGTGATGCATCAGAAACATTTGACATTCAGGAAATCCTGTTGAACCCCTTCTACCAGATTTTTGTTGGAAGTTACTGCCATTTCCAGTGAAAGACTTGAGCAAGGGAGAACAAGTGCATGTCGCAATCAAGGAGAGCACTGGCCAGATCTGACCATTGCTACTTGAGGCTTCATCGACACTGGATGCCATTTCGAGCAGTAAATGGTTGGAGAGCTGTCAGTGATATAGATTATTAATTTTCAAATTTCTTCTCTTCCATTGTAGATGTCGATGAGGCCTCAAAGAAGGAGATCAAAGACATTCTGGTGCAATACGACAGAACCCTGCTGGTCGGCGATCCACGCCGTTGCGAGCCCAAGAAGTTCGGTGGTCCAGGAGCCCGTGCTCGTTACCAGAAGTCGTACCGTTAAATTCTTCTGTCTGCTTTTCAATTTGGATTAGAGATATTTTTTACAATTTGAAAATGGTTTGCGCGAAAGTGTGAATAAAACGGAATAATTAATGGATCCAATCATTGATATTATTTGTTGAGTGGAATATGATAACGTCGTTAGTGGTGCTGTTTTCCAAAATGCAGCTGATTTAAGGACAGAACCAGCATATATGCATTTATATCGGGACGTGGTTTTAATAGCTGGTCTCTCTGCCTTAACTTGATGTGTTTAATGTTAGCTACACGTCAAGTGTAGTAGATTAGCATCATGGGTGGGGTAAAACGATACACAAAGCTGAACTTTAATAGCAACTAAAGAACTAGGGTATAGAGACGTCCATACTGCCGGTTGACAACAACAAGTATTAAAATAAAGAACGGTTTTGTGCTCTCTTACGACTTATGCTTTTATTTCGATAAAATCCTAAATAGGAAAATGCTCAAAATGAGCAAATCGTTTCGAAAAGTGATTTATCAATCCAATAAAATAACATGTTTGGTGCTAAGGTTTTTAGCTGGCTATTAATATTAAATCGAATGTCAATATCGAGGAATATGATTTCTCATCAACAAAGAAGAACTTTAACCCATTGACGAATAGGGGGTTTTGAATATACCAACGAAAATTATGAAACTAAGAATTTTAGCACAGTTCAGGTGTTAGAAGTAATTTTTTTTTAATAGAGAGAAAGAATTGATTAACAAGAAGAATTACAAACAATATTATTTCAAGCGGCTTGGCTTAACTTTTCCACTTGTTTAAAAAGAGGGCGCCATGTGGGTTAGTGTCAGTAAATATGTTGGTACATTTCAGACACTCGGTCACACTGATTCTCCCTAAAGGTTAGTTAGTCATGGGAGCTTTGTTTGGGAAAAATAGCAAAAAGACGGCCCCCAGTCGGATAACCGACCACGATAAGGCTGTCCTGGTAAGTAGCCATGTCTCCAAATACTCATAGTGCCTGTGCTAACCGTCTCCACTCTTGTAATGCCCAGCAACTGAAGCAACAGCGAGACCGTCTCAAACAGTACCAGAAACGAATTGAACTGCAGCTGGAAAATGATAGGCTCCTCGCCAAGAAGTGCCTGCAGCAGGGCCGGAAAGAGTAAGGCTTACATAATGACAAAGGGATAGTAATCTAGAGTTAATTTTTGTATTCTTCCAGCCGCGCCAAGCTGCTGCTGCGCAAGAAGAAGTACCAGGAAAGTCTGCTGACGAACGCGGACAAGCAGCTGGATAATCTGGAGAAACTGGCTGCCGACCTGGAGTTCGCCCAGGTGGAGATGAAGGTGCTGGATGGCTTGAAGCAGGGCAATGCAGCGTTGAAGAAGGTGCACGAAATGCTGGACATAAACGAAGTGGAGAGGATCATGGACGAGACAAGAGAAGGCATCGAGAAGCAGCAGGAGATTGACGCTATTCTGACGGACGTACTGACGCCGCAAGACGAAGAGGACGTCTTGGCCGAATTGGATGCCCTCGAGGCCGAAGAAGATCGAGTCCAATTGCCGGAGGTGCCCACCGAGGTGCTGCCACCAGTAGATGATGAGGCGGCGGCAGAGGAGAAAGCAGAGACCAAAGCGATTAGCAGCAAGACGAAGAAGGTCCTGGTGGAGGCCTAGATACAATTTAAATCGAAACCAATGCCATTTTGTATGTACGTATGTATGTTTGTATAGCCAGCAACTAAATATCTCTATAAGTCCAATGTGAAATACAATATTTTTCTAGAATCGAAAATGCACAGCAACCGCACATCATTCAGTCCAAGCGCATTGAAACGGACTTCTTTGACCTGCGTATGTCCTCCCTGACGCGTGTGCGTAGACTGTTGTTGGTCTCCCGCAGCTTCTCAATCTCCTCGACGAGCACAATGTTCTCCTTGAACAGTTTGTCGTATTTCTTTTGCACCGACTTGTCCTCGGCCACCGTCTTGTAGCGCGCCAAAACGTTTTCGATCTGCTTGCGCTGTCGCATGAACTCATCCCGCACCTCGGCCTCCAGGCTGACAAAGCGCTTCAGCTCGTCGTCGCTGGCATGCTTCTGGAACAGCTCCTTGACGGCCTTCTTGAGGCCCTCGGCCGAATTAATCTCACCGGCCACATAGTAAATGTCCGAGCAAACAGCATTCAGGCACTCGCGCGACGCCTTGGCCCGATGCCGCTCCGTCTGGAGCTCCGCCACGTTGCTGAGGTACTTGTCGCGCATCTCCTTCAACTGCAGCTCCAGCTGGACGTTGTTCTGGTTGAGACCCTCCAGTTCGCTCTCCATTTCTAGGATGTGCTTGCGCTTGTCGTTGATCTGGAACTCGCGCGGCTCGATTTGAGCCTTCAGCTCGGCTATCTTGTGGCCCAGCACCTGCTTGTACTTGTCCAGCTCCTGGTTCTTGTGCAGCAGATCCTGGATGCGCTTCTCCTTGCCGTTGATGGCATAGTCCCGATCGGCGATGTCCTTCTGCAGATCCTCGATGTTGTTTATCTGCTTCTGGATGCAGCGCTGCGACTTGTAGTGTTCCTCCTTGAGGGTCTCCACCTCCTCCAGCAGATTGTCGATCTCCTTGCTCTGCGCCTCGAACTTCTTCTGCAGCACACCCGCCTTGCCGCGCCACATCTGCGTCTCGTTCCGCTCGGTGGTCAACTTGTTCTCGTACTCGGTCTGTGTGGCCACCATGTTGCGGTCGTTCTCCATCTCCACCTCGTGGCAGTACTCGATGAATTCGGCCTTCTTGTCCTGCATCTCCTTCATCAGATCCCGGATGAGGCCCTTGCGCTCGTTCAGCTGCTGCTTGTAATTGTTCTCCAGGGCTTCCACCGTATCCTGCAGCGTGCCCGTGGAGTTCTTCAGCTTGTCCTCGTAGCTCTCGCGCAGCTCCAGCATATTCTCGCGCAAATTGGTGAATTTCTGGTACTCGATGAGCATGCGCTCCGAGTACTGGTTGGCCAGGGTGTCCAGCTGGACGCGGTGTTCCTCCTTGATGGAGTTGATCTGGTAGGTGATGTGGTTCATCTCCTCCGTGTGCCTCGCCTCGATCTCGTTGTTCAGCTCCTTGAGCTCCTCCAGCGCCGAGCAGTAGCTGCGGTGCACCTCCTGCAGCTGCTGGCCGTCGAAAATCTCGTTCTGGCTGAGCTGATACTGGAACTCCTCGGCCTGCTGCTTGAGACGCAGCTCCAGGTTGGCTATCTGCTCGATCTTGTCGTTCAGCTGACTGCGCGGTATCAACACCTCCTGGCTCTTCATCAGGTCGTGGTCTATGGCCAGCACCTTGCCGTCTATGTTCTCCATGGACCAGATGGCCAGCGTGCCCTGCTTGGAAATGGCCAGCAGCAGGGTGCCGTCGTAGGAGAACCTCAGCTTGTTGACCGGCCCATCGAAGAACCGGAAGTTGGTGAAGGTGCCGCCGCCCGCATCCAAGAAGGGCAGCTGCATGTTGAACAGATTACCCTCGTGATCGGCGACGAACATGATCATGTCGGAGCGGGCCAGACAAAGGTCCGACACGGAGCCCTTGTTCCTCGATGGAATCGTGATCTCCCGCACTAACTCCGAGTTCTGGAACTCTCGGATGGTGCCAAAGTTTGTGCCCGCGTAGATGGTCAGCGGATCGTGGAAGCTGCACGACACCGTCACGTACTCGGTGCCCTTCTGCACGATCTCCTGCAGCCGCGAGCCCGTCTCCAGGTCCCACTGGTAAATGGCACCCTCCGCTCCGCCCGAGATGAGGTACTTGTCCGTCCGTGTCCAGGCCACGGACAGCACGGTGCCGTTGTGTCCCTTCAGATTGATCAGCACCTCCAGATTGTACACGGAAGTGATGGCTATATTGTTGTCATAGGCGGCGGCCATCAAGTGGCCCAGATTGGAGTATCGAACATCGTTGCAATGCGGGAAATTGTACGTTTTCACAATCTGCAGTGGGACAGAGTTTGTGGATTGGAATCATGGCTAAGCAGCGGACAACTCACATTGAGATCATCCATGAAGATCTGGGTGATGCGCAGCTGATCCGAGAAGCCAATGGCTGCAATCAGACCCGTGGAATTGAGCTCCACAATGTTGACATCCACCTGAAACTTGCGCACCAGCTCCACCTTGGCCGTCTCGTAGTTCCAGATGCGTATGGTCTGATCCCTTGCTGAGGAATATAATAAGAAGCGAGGATGCTAGTGCTGTGCAGATGCTACTCACAGGCTGTCATGACAATGGGTTTCCAGGCGCACACGGACATGGCGATGACCTCTCCCGTGTGGATGAGCACGCCGAGCGGCTCGAACTTCAGCTGTTTGGTCTTGAGCGTCTCCGGAACGATAAGAATGCCCACATAGATCTGGTCATGGGAGGTGGTGACGATGACTGTCTCCTGCTTGTGATCGATGGCAAGATTTGTGATCTGATACATGGGCTCCGCATAGAGAGTGGTGGGAACGGTGAGGATGGTCTTCCGCTCAAACTTGAACTTGGAGACGCGTTCAAACACGAATGCCCGGTTGAACAGGATGTACGCGAATCCCTTAGCGAAGGCCGTCATGCAGAGTACCCGCTGGTCGTGGAGGACAACTGCCTGGGTGGGCAGCTGGAAGCGTTGATCCTGCGCATCTCGATCTCGATCGAATATCTCCTGGTCCACCATGAGATCCACGGTCTCCGCCTCGCTGGCCTTCTGCGCCAGCTTCTGCTCGCCGTTCTCAACGAGAATCAGCTGGTCGTTGGCCGTGCCCACCATCAGCAGGTCCAGTGACAGAAAGGCCATCGAGGTGACCCTGTAGGTCACCTTCAGGTTGTTGCTGATGGTGAATCCCCTCTCCGACTTGCTCATCAGCAGCAGGGTCCGGTCTCCGCCCACTGCCAGGAAGCTGCAATCTGAGGGATTGCCAGCTATGCACTCGGCTCCGCTGTGCGAGCCCAGGACTGTGGCCCGTCCCTCGATCACGGTGCTTGTCTTGTCCAGCACCAGCATGATCAAGTGCTCCTCCGGCGGCCGGGTCAGTAAGGTCACTGCTCGGGAGTCATAGGTAAAGGTCATCTGCTTGATATTCGCATTGCGATAATTGCCGGGCAGCTCCAGGTGACGGCGCTTCTTCAGGGTGGACAGCTCGTAGATGGAAATGAAGCGGCCACTGCAGATGAAGAGGCGGAAAGAAATCCCTTTAGGGGTAAGAATAGTCTTGGGGGATTTGCTCTTACTTCTTTACATGACGCTCCAGAACGGCCAGCAGTTTGCGATGCGAACTCATGGCGATTATCTCGGGTCGTGTGTCCTCGGGGAATCTGCAAGAGTATTCGAATTATTAGTCCGACAGGACTGGACCACCCCGTAGTCCAGCTCACCTGAGGAATCTCTGCTTGTTCTGGACATAATCGTGGAATGCCAGAACCCCCTCCACCGGATAGATGACCTCCTTGCTCAGGTTGAAGTGGATGTTGCCAATCACATCCGATCGGAGGCCATAGATGAGGCGAGGCCGGATGACCACCGAATTGCTGCTAATCGAGCCTGCCCTCTGTTCGTCCATTCTGTGTGATTTCTATATAAAATAAATGTATATTAAGTGTGTGGTAAGTAATGGATTTTCACTGGAATTCGAATAGAATTTCTCTTTTTTCTGCTGACGGGCGAAACTAAATTGGGAACTGGAATTCGATCAAACAATGTGGGAAATTGTTACGGGACGCCGCCTGACAGTAAATTCCATGGCATCCGGGCGAGCACCTAACAACAAGTGTGCGGGGGTGTGTGGGTTAAGGGGGGTTCGCTAACAATTACCTCAAAATGAAAGCTCTAGTTTCCAGCCTATCCCATTGTAATCCAAAAGTGAGCCAAAGCACCATGAATAAGTAATTAAATGCGCTAAGTATGCTTTTCATTTCGGAGGCGTTGCTAGTGGCCTCAGGCTGAAGTCTGTAGTCCTAAGTCCAATGCCAGAGGCAGCCGCACTTAAGTTCAGAGTTGACATTAAGCGTTTGCCAAAAACAACAATGAAATTTCCGCTGGAAATTGCCGCCCTGTTGGTTGCCATTTCCTGGCCAGCGTCGCACTTGAACCATCGTAATGCGCTTTCAGCCCAATGTGGGTCCGTCTGTCAGTCATCCAGTAAGTCGGGCAGTCAGCCAGTCAACCCTATCCGAAATTGGGTCCCTCCCACTGAATTCTTCTTCTTGGCCAAGGCAGGCCGAACACGACCTAACACAAGGAATTCTTAGTTGTAGAAAAGCTACCTTCTCTTTAGTTCTTCAAAGAGAGAGAGCGCATCTGAAAGAGCTTTCGTGAGCACAGATGGAGATGCTAAGTGCGCTGTACCATGGAAATCCGTTTGGGCGCATCTATTAAAAGGCTTCAACGTTAGCTAAACTGGCTATAAATCAGCCAAAATGTCATCTCATTTGCATTTACCTCTGGCTGCGCTCTTGCACTCTCTCACTGTGTGTTTCTCTCTCTGATTCTGGTTGGAAAGGTGGTGGATGCTCTTCTAGGGACCTATGTATTGTGCTTGGGAGTCCATACTTGGAGAGAGACCTGTAGAGTTGTCCGTACCTTGCACAGTTTTACCCTGCCCATGCCCACAACCTTTCACCGTTGTCAGGCTTTGGTTCAGTTCAGTTCCGTTTTCGTTTTCATTTCAGTCAAAGCTTTCGCGTCGGCCGCAACACTTGCTAACGGGAACAAACGGAACAGCCAAGAAAGTGAAACCAGAAGAGACGACAACGACGCCAACAGAGAGAACAGTAAAAAGAGAAGGCCAAAAGTGTTTGTTTTTAGGTGTTACCAGTGGATGCAAGTGGACGACGTCTTGCCCCTCATAATTGACTACTGGAGAGTGGCTGTTAAATATGGCCGGTTAAATAGACTCCGACGCGACTCGTAAATAATAAAGTAAATGTAACTGAAAACTACAGACAGTTTGTTTCTGTCTCTTTTTCCGTCAGTGTGTGCTTAAGTGCTTTAACGGTTAAAACAGTTTTGTGTCTGTGTGTGTGTGTGGGACAGTCGCTCAATTAAGAACCGCAAGGAAAAACAAAAAAACGTCCAGGCCTGTCCCTTTGCAAATTCCCAAAAGGGATTGAACCGAGGGCTGCTGAATTTTTTAAGCCAATTAAATTTCAAAAAACAAAAAGTGAAAGCAAAGTGAAATGAAATGAAACGAAACGTGGCCGCCTAATGGACTCTTTCAGCCTTTCAACCTGAGCGCAACAGCAGCAAAAACAACAGCACCAGCAGCTGCGGCAATTAAAAAGTAATTTTAATGCCTCTGTTCCGATTATTTTGCACAGAAACAGCAACAGCAACAACAATTTACAATTCATTTGGGTGGGTGGATTGGTTGTTTGGCTTAAATCCGTCCGTACCGTGCCCCACAAACACCCCTAACCTTACCCAACCGCCACCTCCATGCCGTTTCCAAACTTTTAAATCTTTTTCATCTCTCAATTCTTTGTACTCTTGGGTGGAGGGATACTTTGGTTTTCTTCAGGTTTTTGGAAGGAAGAGATCAAAGCATGTTTCCTACTTTTAATGTAATTTAACTGACCGAACGACCGTATGAAGTGAACGATACGAGTAGATCCAGCAGTAAGGGTACCCAACAATTCGGATACCGAAGGTGGCCTTCCTTACTTTGTTTAATTTTCTTTTTACCCCCCCCCTGCAGCTATTGTTGGCCATTTCGGGCGTAACAAGTCGCAAATACCAAAAATGATTATAAACAAATTGTTTAAACAAAGAATCGGGGATACACACATATCCATATGTACGAGTATATCAGCATACATATAAATTTATGTATATACATATACCTTAACTAGAACAGGTCAAATGGGAATCCGTCGGGCCAGAGCCCGGAAAGCGTAAATGTTCATTTTATATTTAAATCCGTCGCAGGCACAGCCAACAGCCACAGTCGCATTCGCCGCAGTGCGTGCATTGCACCACAGCAAAAACCATGTGGCAGCAGACACAAATAAACTCGCGAACAGTGAGGGGTCGCTAAATACACAATTTTGACCACATCAACCATAACCATTGCCCGCAACTGTCACGATATATTGTTAAATAGATCAGGAACTCATCTGTTCAAAGCCATCGATGGCTCCAAAACAAAAAATAAAAATGTTTTCAGAGAAGTCGGATTAAATACGATTATAAATTAATGGAAACATCATTGAAAGCTAATGGGAGATTACTTTTTTCCAATATAAATTGGGAAATGGATGGACATAGACAGATATAGAGAGATACATAGGAGCTTGGGAGCTGTCGTTCCGCGTAGAGAGGCTTCACTGCTCATTTCTATATATATATATTGCTTTATTACAACTTGTTCTGGTATTTTCGGACTGCTACTGAAGTTGTGGAAAATGCAGCAAAAGTTTAGCCAATATAAAATGGAAATTTCATCACCTATGGTTGAGTTTTTTTCTGTAGAACAATTTTAGCAAAAATAAGTCAATTTGTTGAAAGCTAATTTAGTTACAGCTATGCGAAGATAAACAAAGATGAAAGATGTTCTAAAACAGGCAATAAATCTTCGAACTAGTCCATGAAACAAAAATTTTATTTGAGTGTCAGGTTTTTTTTGTTTATTAATTGAAACGACGAGAAAGCCACATCTGTTTTTAGAAACGTAAAGTCTGGTCATATTTGATGGCTTCATGGCTCATACATTAATAAAGTCACCAAAGGATTGTTTCATCTGCCAGACTCTTTTTTCAGGAATCCCAACTTTCCAGACTTCCATAGAATTTTCTGTAAAATGTTTTCTCAGCGGAAATAAGAGTTGGTTGGTTAATTTTTAAAGTGTTTACCGTTATGTATGTATATTTCATTAGTCTATTTTCTGGCAAGCTTAAAGCTTTATGTATATCGCCCCTTACCGCTTAATTTTTTATCATCCTGCCTGGCAGCGTCTCTCTCTCTCTCTCTCTCTCTGTGTCTCTTTTTCCCCTAGAGAAGCTGCTGAAAATCTTGCAGAAATTGAAGTCAAGTGTTTTTTCGTACTTTTTTGCTTCCCTTTCCCTTTTTCCCTTATTTTGTTTTTACAGCCAGGGAATAATGGCATTCTCTCGTCCTTTTCTTTCTACCTCTTTCGTGCTCACTCTCTACCCCACACTCCCACCACTAGGTATGAGTTAAGGAACCGAGCTGGGGCAGAGTTGAGCGCAGCACACAAGCCTTTTCTCGGTTCGTTTCGGCGTTCGGCTTCAATTGTAGCGGCTAAGTTGACCTTTTTGTTAATAGCATGCCAGGAACACACACCCAAGCACACACAGACACACAACCACACAGGGAGTGTGGAGCCAGGGAGGAGTATTGTCTGTGCTGGAATTGGATGTTGGCACAGCTGATTGATTTATTGTCGGCTGACTGACTGGCTGGCTCTCTGTTGGTTTGTCCGCGCTGGCAGCCACAGCAAACAGACGCTCCACCACCTCCACTCGCAAAATGCCAAAGACCCCAGCGACGCAGCGCGTATGCAATAAAAATGATGAGCCAGGCGACTAGGTTAAAGGGCTTTTACCGACTGAAGGATACCTGGCATTCCCCAAATAAAACAAATTAGTTGCTGCTCACCCTCAAGCGATCACGATGATAAAAATATGCAGACGCTTATTCGCTCTAAGTGTAACTCTACAAAATGTAAGCCCCAAATCTTCCTCTCTTCATTGACGGGGTAATAAATTGGGCCTGGCAGCAACTTGATTGCCCCACAGCGGCTCTTACTTACCGACGATGGGATCCCTGATCCCGGACCAAAATATATTGGTTTATGGGATCAAAAACGTACTCCCACGCGTGCTAAATAATTCTTGGGCCCCCGTGTACGTGTTTGTGTGTGTAACCTGTGCATGTGCTGTCGCTATAATTAAGAGCGACGGCAAATACGACGCCAGCGTCGACAGCGACAGCGCGTACTAGCCGCCATTTTCATTTTACGATAACGCCTTTCACCTACTTGTTTCCCATTGCGCGAATGCATGCACTCGTAGCACGCCTCCCCGCGCTCTCTCTCTCTCTCTCTCTCTGTGGCCATGCGTCACCTCTAATAGAATTTCGGGCTCTATTCTGAAGCGTGCCACTGTTGAATGAGAAATAATTTGGGAGGAATTCTCAAATTTCACGTTTTATGTACTGGCTTCTTTTTCTCTTGCGAAATTATCATTTAAATTGCAGAGCGTGTGCACACGCATTACAAATTCTCTTGGAGTATCTCTCCTCCTCAGGCAGACAGGGCGCAAGCATGCCAAAGTGTGCGTCAAAAATTCATAAAACTTTTAAGGGCTCAGCAACAACAACAACAGAAAACACAGGGAGATAAATATGTAATCTGAATGCATACATTTAATGGGAATCGAGCGGTTGGACAGAGATGGACAGCACTTGACATAAGGGACAGGCGACAGTGGATAGTGGACACATGACATGGCAACAGGAGGCGGGGTGTCAGTGTCAAAGTTTGAGCTGTTGATAAGCGTCTCTCTCCGTAGACAGGGGAGAGAGTACTCTCAATTATCCGATAAGTACGCTCAGGGTCAACGCCAGATGCTAACTAAATTCATTTGCCTGAGTGCCACTCAAATAGTAAGGGAGCCGACATGGGCATGGTTGGCAAATGGGAGATAAAAATGTGTTATTGATAACTTTGGAATAAACTGATAAGAGTGTCTCGACTTTATAAGACAAACAATCAACTTTTGTATAGAGTTTGCCTTTTGTTTTCTCGCACCAATGGGAAATCTGTACTGTAGAAGTTTCATCAGATTTGGCACTTTTCAGATTAAAAGCCACTTAAGTGGATTATATTTGTTCATTGCTTGGTGGATAAGACTTGATACTGCGTTGAGTCTGGAGTTTAGTTCTCTAAGGTCCTAGGAGCCACGACCCTCTCAGCTCTCTTTACACAACAAAAACCAATCAACAGCTCTGAAGCTGATTGGCTGTTAACTTTCCGTTCGCTTTCTTGTCCCATCACAGCTCTTGCTCTTCCAATTCGTCCTTTCGGTACAAGTATTTGATGGTCGATTCCCACATTGGATTCCCATAAAAGTGTTTCGGGTTCGATGTTCAGTAAATATATTTTCAGTCCTTTGTTTCACTTAAATGGCTTACTCCAAAGGCCATAGCTGGGGCCCCCAAATGACCCAAAAGTTGTCCACAAATGTATAGTCACAACAGGTTGAAATGGGACCCCGTCGATGGCAGAAAACAGAGCCAGAGCCAGCAGAAACACGCATGTCTCCACAAATTGAAGTGTCTGTGGCAGATGAAACCTGAAATGAATATGGAATTAAGGGGGCAGAAAATGGGAAGTGTATCAGCTGTGTTATGTTAGCGGTGGATACATTAAAAACTCTATGCCATGCCCCAAAAAGTATGCTTTGCATTCACTTTGGTTTCATTTTGGCTGCGAGCTAATTAATAATGTATGGAATAAAAAAAATAAATAATAAAAAGCTTAATTGTGATTGAAAAAAGCGCCCTGCGCAATGTAATTAATGTAAATTCACATCATCCATAGCCAAACATATGAATATACCCATACATATATACCCATATAGTAACCAAATTTATGTGCATATTTTTGCTAAAGGCCATTAATGGCATTTCTGATTTATTGCAGGCTCTGTCCCCAGTCCAGCTGGAAAACGGAGAAAGTACCGCAATAACAACGACGGCGCATAATTAACAACAAAAGCAGAAAACAAACAAAACAAAACAAAACAAATCAAAAAGAGAGACGAAAGTGAGAAACAGAAGGGGAACTGGAAAGGGAAGGGACCAATCAAAGCGCAACAAGAGCTTATGAACGACTAAAATGTTTCCTAAATGCTTTGGCAGTTATGCCAAAATTGTTAACAAAATCAAATAAATGCGACAAGAACAACGGAGAGAGAGCGAGCGAGAGAGAGCAGGAAGTACCGGAAAACCCGAACAGTGGGTGGAGCAGGCGGCGACGACAGGTGGCCGGTAGTCGCACCCCCAGCCCCTCCTCCAACCATCCGAGAGAGAGAGAGAGAGAGGGAGAGACAGGGAGAGCCCTCCGTCGCCGTCACATTGAATTAATTTCGTGAAAGGGGAGCCGAGCCACATTCCCTCCAGCGATTGCCAAAAAACCCAAACTCCCGCACTTGGACGGCGAGGGCCCCCATCGAAATCAACGGCTGTCAGACAGAAAGTCGCTTTTTATTGATTTTTATAAAGCCCAAGCCAAGCAACAAAAGCAGAGAATAATACAACAAGCCGCAGAAACAACTAAAATAAAGAGTCAAACGCAATGTGAATAATTCCCTAGCTGAACAGGAACGACCAGCCACGAAACAGAAGCAGCTAACGGCAAAGAATCGTTGGGACATTCCCTCACTCACTCGCACTCGAACCCCTACCGTGCTCCCACTACTCACCGCCTCCTCGTACCTACTGCTGCCACTCTTACTCTGTCACACTATCGAAACGTTCATCAAATGCGATTCGATGACGCTTCAGCAGAGGCAGAACACACAGACAAAGAGCTCCAGAGACGGAGCCAGAGACCCACCACAGAGCTCCATAAAAATGTGTTATAAAAATATACACGCATAAATTCCGCTCCATCTCCCTTTGTCTAGGAAGGAAAGGGCATACATTTCCGAACAGAACGAGCAAGATAGCAGAGGAAACAACAAGCAAATGCAAATGTCATTGGCAAAGTCAATTAGAAGAGTAACTGGGAACAAACTAAGGATAACTTGAATCGAAATGCCGCTGCAGTTGCACAATTCCAACTAAATTCAAAGTGTAGCAAATGGGTGTGTGCATGACAGAGCAAGACTGATTTTTATGTTTAGTTAGATTATTTTAAAAATAAATCAACTAAACTGCAAACCAAAAGCAAGCCCGCGGCAACATCAACGAATAACCCCAGCGGAAACCTTAGCAAAGAGGGGAAACGAGGAAGAGCCAGAGCCAAGACACCAAAGAGACAACCACAACCGCAAACAGAATCATACGCAGCCATGCTTATACTCATAGCCGTGCTCTTTGTTAATGCCTGCCTGGCGGGTGAGTACACGAAATATTTCTTTAACTTTAAGTACAATTTAGCAACGCATTTTGAGCACCTTTAAAGACATAAGACATTTGTTTGGTGTAAATCTTATTGTAGTTGGGCCAGTCTAGGCTGCAAGTAGTAAAATAAAAGTTTCTAAGTATTACTCAAGTTTGCCACAAAACTTGTGGTAATCTGATAATCCCATTTCTCAGACTGCTCATAAACTTAGCTGCGTAGTGGCGGTGCTTCGTATACACATCATTTACAAGGATAATCACATAATAACAAGCAATTATTGTTATAATAGGCACCATTCCCGCTACGCCGGAGAACATAACCGTAACCTTTTTGACGCCCACCGCGGTCCGGGTGTCATGGCAAACGCAAATCGACCTGAAGGCACATCCCATCGAGAAGTACATCGTGACGTACAAGCCGACAGACGACAGGTAGGTACCACTAACACGGCAAGAACAAGAACTCAATCTACACCCTCTTGACTTGGCTAAATAATGGCAGAGTACGCTTCGAAACGTAACTGACGCGGGGCAGTAGAGGCGGCAAGTCAAGTGCATTTATGCAGGGAACAAGTAAAATATGTATTTTGTATGCAATTGACAGGCAGGGCTGGCCGCGGAGTGAGACGCCCGAGGTGGCAGCGGTCAGTCAAGAGCAATGTGTGCGTGTACAAGTGTGTAAGTGTGCTCCGTGGCTGGATAGTCTGCCAGTGTGTGTCTGTGTGGCATTTGGCCATGAGCTAAATAACGGCCCACCTAAAACCAACAAAGAAAGAAAAAGGAAAACCCCAAAGAAAAAACAAAATAGGAAGTTAAGGCCAAATTGACCGCGCATGCAGGCCAAAAGAAAAACAAAAGCCGCCAGTACTTGTAGCAAAGTTATTTAAAACAAAAGCCAGAAGAAAACAATGGAAGGAACACTGCGAAGGGAAAGAAGAAGTAGGAGTTGGCAGAAGAGCAAAGTAAATATCCACACCGTAGTATGTACCACACATAGTAGTTGGTGTGTAAAGAGTAGAGCAAACATTTCTTGAAGACTTTGTTGATGTGTGCCATTTAACTCGCTCTCGTGCTCTTCTCGTATGCTCTCGTACGAGTGCAATATTTCGATGATTTACCGTAATTATTTAGCTCAGCTGCAGCTGTCTTTCCACCCTCAACACCATAACCCTGCACTCATCGCAGCTGGTTTCTCTGCTCACACTTGCTGGTTCCCTGCTGATTGTTGTTGCTGTTGCTGCTTCTCATCGCCTGCGTGGCGCTCGGAACACAGTGAGACGACGGACGAGAGAGAGCGAGAGAACGGAGAGCGGTGGAATGCCGGAATGGGCTACATATTTCGTCTACAAACTAAGCACTTCCGCTCTAACTGGGTCTGGCAGCATGGGAATGCTGGCTTGGTTGCTCGCTTGGGCTTTAGCTTAGCCCGTTCGCTGGCTGTGCGCGCTGGCATGCCGTGTAATAACTTAAGTGCTCGACTTTTTCCACTTTTTGACTGCTGCTGCAGTCCGCACAGTCCGCGGCCAGGAGCCTAGGTGTTTCTGTTGTGTTTTTCAATTTAACGGCTCATATTGCGTGTGAGTGTGTTGAAGCGTGTTTTGTCTTTTACTGCCCACCATTCAAATGCTCTGGCATTGATGATGTTGCTGTAGTTATTGTCCCGCTGCTGTTCTTCCATGAAGTTCACGCCTATGTCAAAAATTTTATTACAAAACTAAGGGCTTATTTTGGCCTAGTGCCTCTGGTCATTATTTATAAGTGAGTTTGTTTTTAATTTTTGTGTGTTTCTTTTGTATCGATTTTTGGTGTATGTATTACCACCTACTGCCGTTAGTCAGTCAGTCAGTCAGTCATTATGGTGGGCCGTGGCCGTGCCGTTCCTATGCCGTTGCGGTGTTCCACTCGTTTTCAGTTCCATACCGTTCCTACCGTTTTTCGAGTAAATTGTGGCCCTGAATAATGTATGATTAGTACATAGACACGTTGACGGTGAGTCGACGGATCCGGACTCTGGCTTTGGCCCTGGCTCTGGTTCGAACTCGAGTCGTGTCCCCCACACCCACCAAGGAGGATTACACTAGTAGTCATAGAAAAGTTGTACCACCATTTCGTACACTCGAAGAAATGATCAAGCCACAACATTGTCTTAGGAATGTAGTTAATATTTATGTATTTATTTCCGCTGATGAAATTTCTCTCAGTGCACCATGCATACATGCTCCAAATTACTAAGTGGATTTATGAAATTCTTGACGAACAACTTGTTTTGTGGGACGAAATGGTTCGAGTTAAGTTCAATATGTCCGAGCATGTCAAGCACCATCAATAACAATAATAATTAATAACAATTACTGTCCCGCCGAAGGAGCTACTATTACTGTTTCCATCCACCCGTACTGGGCAGGCAATGGGCGGTCTTGGGGCTGGACAGTTGGAGCACACCAATCAATATGTATCCCTGTGTGCTAGATTTGATTCATTTATCGTTATCAATTCTTTTAGAGCCAATTTGACATTATTAAAATTGAAATGTCAAGGACCAGCCACACATAAGAGTGCTTCACAGGTATATCGTGTCACGTCAAAGTGGATAAGACTTGTGTTTGTGTGTGTGCCTGTGCCTGTCCCTCCCCCCACCGCAATCACTGCTATGACAACATAAATTTTCCAGTAGAAGCCATACAAGTGCAAGACAACATGGACAGAAAGGGAGAGCATACCATGAACCTGATTTGTGGTGGCTCTCATACTTAGTACACGATACGAGTGCTCTCGTACTACAAAAGTAAGCCAGCCTAAGCTGATGTAAAATAACTTACAAGTTTCCTATTAGCCTACCATACACAAGCGTACGTGATAAGCAGATATCCTTCATTAGACATTGATGGAACTGTCCTACGGGAGGGGGCGTATACGGAATTCTAATTGCATTTCGAATTCAATGCAAATAGAAAAAGTCCGCAAGTGATGTTGCCCTTGCGAAACTCAACTAAAAATTCTGACTAGAGGAAAAACAACATCAACAATATCCGGCCTAGAGTCAAGTTCTTGGAACGTGCACTTTGTACTTCATAAGTTATTTAATAAGAACTGCAGGAAACTCTTTCCAGCTACGTCCCCTCTTGTTTGCATATCGGACAGCCACTGTGGAGTTCCAGAAATGGCCACGGGCCATAACTGTAAACAAATCATTTATTAACAAAGCCAGAAAAAACCTGATTGCAAATAAATAAACATAAACAAGAAAATTGAAACATAAAATGAAATTTATACGCGAGCATTTGGCACCTTTGTGAGTTTCACACCAGATCAAAAGCTAACACACGGCAGTAAAAAGGAAATGGCCAACGAGCAAGGGGCAAGGCTCAAGAAAAGCAAAGAATATCATGAAATTGAGAAAAACTCCCTGGTGCTGGTGGTTCACATGCATTTCTAATGCCAGCTAAGAACGAACAAAAGGGTACAGGAGCCACCCAGAACAGATTTGGAGCCATGGCGTGTGCTTAAATTGTGGATAATAAGCGGCTGCTACATCGACTTTAATGCATCGAAACACACGACCCACCAAGGAGTGGCTAGCGGAGCGGGGAGGATTCAATTTGATTTTCCCCCAGGCGTCGCCACATGCTGAAAACTTAACTGAGAAACTTTAGACAACGCCTGGCCATGTCACATAACCCTGATGTTTGCATAAAGCGGCCCAATTTCCATTGCCCTGCGGCCCCGACTCTATTAGCTGTGTGAAAATGTATGCGACACGTGTGTGAATGGAGCACAGACTCAAATCAATTATGCATTTGGCCCCCGGCTGGAGGTAATTCATTAATTTATAATGAGCCAACAATACGGGGTTAGAAGATGACTATCTACTTAGATTAGTATGAACCGAATACATACAGAGTATGCTTTAAAAAGGAGGAACTCTTTCTTTTACTATGCGAGGATGTTGCTCCCATCTGCCATCAGTTCTGGCTTCGAGTTGCTTCGAAATCTAACTTTGAGATTCCCTCTGTTGACATTCGAGGGCATTGCATTGGTCGGCTGTTGCTTCTGGCTTTTAACATTAATGTTTGCCTGTATGCTCTGGCGCTGTTTTTGTTTTGTCTGACAGCGGAACAAGCGAAATGCGGGCAACTTCTGTTTGGACTTTAGTTCCTCTGGGTACCATTGCGACGGGAATGTACTGGGGGTACATAAGAGTGTGTGTATATGTATGTATGAGTATTTGTAGTATATATGAATAATGAATCATTTGTCAGACTGTTGTGGCGGCGACCATAGTAATGGGAGAAATTGCAGAAGTCTGGGCCGGTTTTTCCTGGCCACGCATTTGCAGGACGACCAGAAAAAGGAAGTTGAGAATAGTTTAAAGGTGGCAGGGACAGCTCTGCCAGCTCTGCCAGCTCTGGTGGTGTAATGTGAGCTCTCGATTGGCAAATCTAGGACATTCTAGTGTATTCTCTGGCTCTGGCGAAAGTGACAAAGTGAAATATTGGCCACTGCTGTAATTACGTATACACGGACCGGCCTCATATATCACGTCGGGATTGGCTGTAGTTGTTCAATTAGCAACAAAATGGACACAAACACACTTAAGGCACACACACGAATGCACTATCCTCGCACCGTACACCGGTCCCCGTCCCTTAGTTGCCATTCGAGAGTGGTAATTGAATTAATTTAAGTTACAGGGTTGTACAGGACGTTGCCGGCAGCAGCGAGGCCATTGTCCTGGATCGCCTGCTGCCCAGCACACAGTACTCGCTGGTCGTGACGGCCATCTGGCAGGGCAAAAAGTATCGCAGCCGTGGCCAAATCAAATTCCGTACCCTAGGTGAGTAGCCATCTCATAAATATGTGAATAAATTGTATGTTTGCCGCTCGAAGATCTGCCAAGGAATACCTCGGAGCAGGACTTTCCGCCCGGCATCTTTGGGAACGGCAATGGGAATGCCAGTGGACGGAATGCAACGGGAAATGGCAGCATCTTTGGCGATGATGTGACCTCCACGGCCACCAACACACTCACCCATGGCACGACCCGAGAGTTGCCCACTGTAAGTTGAAGCAAAGAAAAAGTGTGAAATGAAAATATATAAAATCGATTTTAAACACAGATACGCGGTGTGGAAATCGGCATTGTGCTGATCGTGCTCATGGTGTGGGCCGGCGCCATAGCTCTGTTCTTCAATCGCTGGGGCAAGATTCGGATGCTGCTGCCCTACCAGCCGGACTACAAGCACGAGCAGCTCAAGGTGCCGGGCACGGGGGTGTGCAGCGCCAGCGGCTGCAATGGCCAGCACTCGCATCAGGTACGTTCTACAGCTGTGCCCAGCGGGGGCAGGTGGGGATGGGGATGGGGATGGGGATGGTTGTGTGTGTGCGTAGTACGCGTGGGATACTTACCCTTTTGGGCGCTCCATCATATACGCGAAAAACTTATCTATGTTTCATTTCTGTTATGCTTCATTTTTAGAACCTACACCCCGATTTCTTTGTCAAGGTATTCAAAATCAAAAAAATTCTTCAAACTACTTACTACTTGCATATGTATGAACCAAACAACAAATATTTTTGCATTTAATTAGCTTTTTCTCTGCATCAAACTCAAGTAAACATTTGCCTCTTATTGAACTACCAACATATGTACACCGTTTCCTTTTTATCTCGTGCACCCCAGACCGCCCGCTCCCCCAGCAACAAAACCATTCTACCAGAATAACTGTTTGTGCAGTTTGTCCAGCCCCCAGTCCAGGCCCTGACCAACTTTAGTATGCTTTAACCCAAACACCAGCGTTATGAAAATTCTAGACAAATCAAGCAGAAGGAATTCCTCTACTGAATTATCTTATGATTTGCTCAAAGGAAATGGCACCCGCTGGTTTCTTATTGATTTTGGCTTTGTTTTTCAACCGTAGAGAGCTGACCCTTGTCTCGGTAGTACTCCCAAGATCCGAGACCGCTTAGACCGGAGAGCAGGACAAAACCCAGAACACTTTCATAATGTAGTTCGTACTATCCACACATTGCTCAGATCTACTACCATACATAATCGTATTTATTGCATTTAGCGGATTTTGCTTTTGGTTTTGGTTTTGGTTTTGGTTTTGAGCTTTGCTGTTCAGGTTCGAGCTTTCAAATGAAATCACTGACAAAACGTTCCTTACTTTCACTCCGCTCTCCTCTCGCCTGCCCTGCTCCTGCGCCTGCTACTGCTGCCGCCTTCTTTTACATTTTGTTGGGGTATTGCTCTCACGGCAGTGTCTGCCCCGCTGCGAGGGGTGCGGACTGTTCGATCGCTGCTTCCAGTATCCGCGACGGGAGCTGGAGCGCGACTGCGGCTGTCAGTTCGCCCTGCTGCATAAGGCGGACGTCGAGAGCTAGCAACCAGCGCACCGCGTAGCGTCCTCCTCCGCAGTAAGTGCTGCGGCCAGCCACGGGCGTGGACACAGCAATGGCACGCCCATCAACACATATGTCCGGGGACCCAGCGTCGACAATCAGTCGATTGTGGGGGCCAGTGTGCTGGAGCATGTGAACAGCCTGGACAGCCACACAGCGCCCGAGGATGGCGATATCGAGGCCGACGAGGGGCTGGCCAAGGAGAACGAGAACCAGCATTTGCTGCAGCGGGAGAGGGAAAGGGAGGCAGCTGCTCCGCCCCAGCGCATACTTCCCCTGCAGGCGGGCGCCACCAAGCAACGAAAGTTCGCCCAGCAACGTAGCATCCTAAAGAACTCCCAGGAGCGGACCTTTGTGGAGGAGAACGACGTACTCGAGGCCAAAAAGCAGCTGATCCTGCGTCGCAGACGCCTCTTAAGCCACTACAGGCAGTACGATCAGTGGCGGCGGCGGCAGTTCAGCTACGATCCCAGCTACTTTCGCCCGCCTCCGGCACTGCCTCGAACGCTGGCATGCGCTGATTACAATGCAGCCGGCATGGGACAGAGCGTGGGAGCCAGTGGGCCAACCAGCTGTTCCTCCTCCATCAACGCAGGACGGCGGCGGCGTCAGTACCGGCGGCAGTACTCGTGTGCCGATCGCAGTCGGGAGGGTTCGCGCGATGTCAGCCGCAGCTCGTCCCGCCTGCAATTCCAGAAGTACCACAGCATGGTGGCCAGCGACACCATACACACCGATTCGTCCGTGCTCAATCACAGCAACTACAGCGAGCCGGCCAGCGTAAGTCGTTCCCTACACATCTGCTTGGTGCACGGTGCACGGATTTTGTTTCGAAATGCAAATTCAAATTCAAATTCAAAATCAGATTGCAGCAAGAACCGTTTCGCTCGTTCCGATAACGATTTCGATAATTGCACGATCGACTTGCACCCGTGTGTGTGTTTCTTCGTCGTTTTGGAGTCGGCGTTAAATCACAAAATCAATCGCACCTGCAACTAAAAGCACACACACAAAGACACCATGTACAATGAAAAGTTATAAATTGTAGCAATGAAATGGATCTGATCTGATCTGATCCTGGCGCCGCACACTTCCTCACCTCTCTCACAGCAATTCACGAATCGCAATCGCAATCGCCATAGCATCTGCATACCCTGGCTTATGTACAAGTATCTTTGTAGTTGTTAGGGTAGAGTCGCCACCGCTCCCACGCTTTTCGCTTGCTCTTCTTAGTTGTTGTTGTTGTTGTTCTTGTTGTTGTTTTTGCTGGCTGTAGGACTGTGAAGGTCTGAAGGTCAGTAGTTCGAGTGGCAGGTGGCCCAAGGCTTATGTTCTGAGTGTGTACATCTTGTTTCCTCCGATGTGCCGAGCGAGACTGTGACACTTTCTCCTCTCTACTCTTTCCTATCTCTCTATCTGTTTCTTTCTGTGCGCTCCTCCGCTCTCCTTTGGTGGCGCAGTTCGACAGCAGTGACTGTGCCAACGCCAATCCACCGTTGCACAGCAATAGCCGCGTAAGAACCTTAAGCAGAAGCAGTGGATCGACACCCAGTCGAGGCCTTTACTGACACTCTTTTCGTTGCAGCACATCCACATGCTGGCCGAGGAGCACTCCGCATCAATATCCGAGCGCTGCACCCGGAGTCGCATCAACTCGGCCATATTCGTATCGTCGGAGGGTCGCGGATTCGACTCGATTGAGTTCCTGCGCCGCCACGGCTCCCAGAGTGTGCTCTGCCGTAAGGCCAAGAGTGCGGAGAACATCACGGACAATGGCCGAAAGGTAACTCCTCATCAGCTCCTCGATCTGTTTCAATTCTAAGGCCATTTCTGTTCATTGTTCTTGTGCAGAAGAGCCTGCGGCAGTGGCGAACCGATGACGACGCCGTCAAGCATCAGAATATCTCACAGGACAGCAACGACATAGAGCTGAAGGAGTGCGGAGCCGGAGGAGAAATACTCCGCCTTCCAGTGATCCACGACGCAAAGTCATCGGGCACAGCCGTGACTAGTCTACTGGCTCGCTCGGCTGCCATCACCACGGCCAACATGATTGTGGGCAGCATTTCGCTGGAGGCACCGCCGCCATACATGCAGGACGACGACGCCGATGCACATTCGACCGCTGCTCTGATACACAGCGATGCCGCTGCCATTGTCCACGAATCGCAAGACTCGGCGGAGACTGTAGAGGAGCTGGTACATGTCCCGCTGCTGGCCCGTGCCAATGCCACTGCCACCGTGTCCGCCTCGTCCTCGCCCAGCTTTGCCATCGAGGCGAAGCCACGAGTTCTGGTGCATCAGCGCTCGTCGACAGCCTCCTCTTCGCCTCATAGCAGCCCCAAGAACCTGGGACTGGGCCTGAAGATAATCAAGCCCAAGATCAGTGCCGTGCCAATGGTTTCCGTCTCGGGTCCTTCGCCGCCCATTGAGAAGCCACCGCTGGCGGAGTGTTTGTAACAAATGGCAGCCGAAACATTTATCTAAGCGTGCGCTCAAGGCATCCGGACATCAGGCTCAGTCCCAGCACCGCCAACACACAACACCCAGACCCAGAACCTAGCCAGGCCTATCCCTAATACAAATCGAATAATGTGAGAAGTGAGATGGACTTAGAATGCCAGCTGCTCAAATAAGTGTTTCGGTGAGAGAATGTGAACGAAAGAGGAGTAGAAGTAGAAGTAGATATAGGAGAAACTGTACCAAAGGTCATCACCCATCACCAGGGAAGAAAGCTTTGTATATTCAACAACGACTGAAGTATACACATAACTACATTAATCGAAAACAAACAAATGAAACCTATAGAACTTTATATCAACGTTATATATGTATATGTGTGTGTTTGTGTGTGTGTGTGTGTGTTTATATATAAATACTATCCACATATAACTGATAAATCAGCTTTAACAACAAACGAGTAAACTATCAGGCTTTAATATTATGATTATCATGATGAATTTCTGGTTTAACCTAGTCTGTAGACGCACATACTGTAGCTGTTGTATGAGTAATGTAATAATGTAATGAAATAAGTCAACCAAACAACCAACTCTCTTTTATTGTTCTCCTATACATATAGCCAAAAACAAAGCACTTTGGGCCCCACACTGTTACACACGCGACCTATACACATACACAGATATATTATATACATATATATACATAATATATTTATACATCACGTTAACCCACATATTCGTGTGTATTTTTATGGAAGAAATCTTAGACTTCTAGAACACCCACTAAATGCCTAGCTCGTAGCTTTAAGACGATGGAAAAAACAAACCACACTTAGTCCATATCAGACACATACAACAAATACTCTTAATCTTCTCTACCCACGACCAAAGCGAAACGTTTGAAACTGTAAACTAGTCTATAAATGCATAGTTATATGAATCCTATAACTAAATTACCATAAAGTTAAATGTAGTTTGAAAAGTGTTTTTAAAATCGAGTTCTAATGTGTGTGTAATGAAGTCATTTCGGTAGTTCGAGCTGCACACGATTAAGCGGAGATATTCATGAATTTATACATAAACCTAGGGACATTATATTAAGAAGCTCTTACCAACACCACACCATTCGTTTGCTCCCTCCCCAACTCAAACAGCGTCTTAGGTAGTCTCTATACATTTTAGTTATGATACTCAAATTTATATCTATCTATCTATCCACGTGCTATCCACCTACTACACACAATTCGTTGAAAACTTTAAACAAATGTAAATATATCCCAGCACTTGTACCTAATACATATTTGAGCTGAAATACTCTTCGGTGGTACACACACAATGTTGTTATTAAGGAATTGTCAATTTATGGTCCAAAGCTACAATAAAGAGAACAAAAACCACTTGGATGGGTCAAACGATAGCTTAACTAAGTTCTAGTTTATGTTTGATTCGCTTTTTAGCAAAACAAAAGTAAAATCGTATTTAATGTGTATTTTTGAAATCAAATAAACGAATTATATTAAAACTTCTCCTTTTGCAGCGTTATCTACTCATGGTCTTGGCTGTATCTTCCTTTCAAAGATCACACAATGATTGCCCTGATCGTAGTAGCTCCTTTTAAGCTCAATCTCTGGTAGCTGGGCCACCAGCTTCTCCAGCTCCTGCTCCTCGAAGACGTGGTAGTAGCGTAGAAACGTGGTGCGCTGTTCATCCTTCGTCTTCCAGGGTACTAGGACATCTTGCTGTTGGAACTCTGTGCGATTGGTGTGCACAGGCAGGGCAACATGATCCTGTGGCTGCTTTTCCATTTGCTGTTGCTGCTTCTGCCTCTGCACTTGTTCGGTGGTGCGCTCCTTGTTCACGGCCTTGTTTTGCCTGAGGTAGGCGGATTTCTTATCGTTGCGACGCTGCTCCTTGGCCCACACATACACCAGAGCCCGGCCACCAGGACGGAGAACACGTGCCATTTCCCTTAGAGCACCCAGACGACGTTCCGCACTGGCCAGATGATGGATAACAGCGATGCTGATGCACCCATCAATGCTTGACGAGCGCACGGGTACATTCAGACAGTCGCAACGAAAAAGGTGCTGACCCCTCTGTCGGCCAACTGCGAGCAATCCTTGGGACCGATCGCAACCAATGGCCAGGACGTGCGCATTGCAACCGAGGTACTTTCCATTGCCACAGCCGACGTCGAGGACTACAGATGCGGTGTCGAAGCCATCCAAGAACTGGGCCACCTGAGGCCAGGGCGTGTGCCGAGTCTCACTGAAATGATTCGCAATTTTATCGTAGACCTCGTGGACATTCTGCTGCTCCAGGCTGACGGCTTGGTCGGCCAATGTGGTGGACAACTCTTGGGGCACTTTCGATTGTTGGCTATCACACAGCGTGGGATAGGAGCAGTTGCAGCAGCCTCGTCGCAAGCGTCTAAACGTAAGTGATGTCCTCTTGCTGCGTACTTGTGTGGTCAAACTTCCAGTGGGTGTGGGCACCACATCGATGTGCTTCGGCTTAATGCAATGCGTCCAATCGTAGCGAGCTTCGCCAGACATAATCAACAGGGAACGGCGAGGCAACTTCACCTGAACCTGCGTTTCACCACGCCGAAAATCCATAACCACATCAGACTGCAGAGACAGAGACAGAATGGGATCAAAAAATGCGCTGTGTGTGTCCACATGAGGCGGTATGCCATGGCCGGGCTCGTACTCATTGACAGTTAGTTGGTCTGGCTTGCTCCAGTCCCAGGAGGAAGAAAAGTTCCCAACTCGCGGCCAAAGAAAATCACAGGCGGAGGGTACAGGTTGATCCAGTGGCCGCGTGGGGTCCACGTTGTTGCTGCCATACAGAAACTCGTAGCCAAAATGCTTGACTTTCCGGTGTTTAAGGGTGCCCTCATGGGACCTACCATCGTCGGCAATGGATTTAAGCAACGTCTCCTCCTCCGCCTCGCTGACAAAGTCTGGCAGTACGATGAGCCCACTGGGCAGCGGTTTGTTCCACTCACTCTTGCCGGCCAGCGCAGGCAATGCCTGGACATAGCTTAGATAGGCCACTGCTCCTAGTTGTCCGATGGTCGCCACATTGTGCATGCCCGTGAACACAAGCTGGGAGTCCTCCAGGGTGGAGCAAACGAGAAAGCAGTACGATTTTCCAGCCAACATTGCCACCTCAGAGATGCTGCCCCCTGTCTGGGCGGCCGCTTCGAGCAGCCTTTCCTCAGTGAGTCCATTGCTGAGTCCCACGTTCAGAATGGCCAAGTAGATGGTGGGGGTGTCGCTAGGAGACACATCACAGTCGCTTTTGATAATTGCCAGACATCTACGTCGTTTTTTTTCCGCTTTTTTTGCATTGTTTACAATTTGCTGCTGTTGCTCAACGTGCATGCTGTCGCCAGTGTGTACATCTCGCCACAAATGGAAATATTCAGAAACCCGAAAACATTAGGGTGATATCAATTGCAAATGCAAAGTATCAATATAATTATTCATATAATATGTATGGTATACCCCCTCAAGCCTAACTAAATGCTTATAGTTATTGATAGTACAAATCTTACAGTCTATATTCTACCAGACTCTGTCAATCATACTGTTGTCCTGCGGCTTTTGATTCATAGTGGTCAACTGCTGATGGTAGTTGCGCATCTGATTGCTGCGTCGCGGCTGTGCGAGATACTCGAACATGCTCTGCAGATGCTGCGACAACATCTTGCTCAAGTCGCTGGGCATGGGGTCAGTCCAGAAGAAGTCATGGTTCAGTGCTGTATCCGCATCAATGCGCTTTTTGGGATCTAGAGTCAGGAGTTTGTCGAGCAGATCGCACCCAGTGGGATCCTTGACATATGGACGCAGGCGCTCCTTGACGCGCCGCTTCTGATTCTTTGGCAGTTCAATTGACTTGTACAACTCCAGTTCCTCTACACCTGGCCACACGTCTGGCGTAAAAGATCCACACAGCTGCGAGATGAAAGTCAGCTGCTGTTGCTCTGTGTTTCCCTGCATAATGGGCGAGCGTGTCCACATCTCGGCCATAATGCAGCCAGCTCCCCACATGTCCACGGGCGGACCATAGTTACGATCTCCCAGCAGCAACTCGGGCGGACGATACCACAGCGTTACGACTCTGTTTGTGTAGCGATTCTTTGAATCATTCTTTGGGATACTAAATGCGCGAGCTAGGCCAAAGTCGGCCAGCTTCAGGATTCCATGTTTGGTAATTAGAACATTGGCAGCCTTCATATCTCTATGCAAAATCTGGAAGATGGCAGCCAATAGTAAATTGTGTTTTCGTGCAAGAATAACAATTAAGCACCTTGTTGCTGTGTATATAGTACAGGCCGTTCAGCAGTTGCTGCATAACCTTTTTGATCTCCCCGAGGCTGAATTTCACATTCATGTTAGACAGCAGCCCGGCCAAATCGTGCTCGCAGAAATCAAAGACCAAATAGAAAGTGGACCTGTAACCATTCGTGGCTGTGGCCTTTGTGCGACAAATCTCAATCAGGTTGACCACATTTTCGTGCTTCAGCAGCTGCAGGATTCGAATCTCACGCAGGGCCGTGATGGGAAACTATTCACGGGACAAATTGTTTTAGTGACTCGTGGCGAAATATATCTTGCTCACTCACGCCTTCCTTTTCGTTGTCCATGAGCACTTTTTTCATGGCCACAAACTTTTTGTTGCTCTTCTTCTCCCGTGCCTTGAACACCTCCCTGAAATACACAGAAAATTCATACTTTCTAACGTTGTGTGCATGCATAAATGCTCACCCAAAGGTCCCCTGTCCAATTTTGGCCACCTTCTCGTATTTGCTGCTCTCATCACAGTATGGGAAGTCGTAATCTTCAATGTACTTCTGCTTCTCCATCAACGACATGGTCCGTGACGAGGTGGATGGCACGCTGGAGGGCGTGGATGGTTGTTGCAACATGTGAGACATGTGCGACATGGTCAAATTACTTTGATTGCACAAATTTTAACAGTTCCTGTCTGTCAAAATCAATGAAAACGCGAACAAATGCAACAATTGATGGAATGGTGCACTCGATGTTTATTTTAAACTATTTGTGGACACACCGTGCATAAAATATCGATGTTAGTATCGATAATATCAACAGCTGACTCGCAATTATTACTTTCCGTTTGTTTGTGTACACTGGCTCACAGGGCCAAGGAGCTGGAAAAGTAAGCAAGTCCAGCAGCCAAATCGTTGCACTGCGGAATGTATTAAGTAATTTTGGGTTGGCTTTCCTAGAAATAGAACACCAAATCAAGGAATATGATTTAAGATTACGTTATAATTAATGTATATTTTGAAAATGAAAGGGTATATTTTGGTATATTTTCGATTGTCTGTCGGTATATTTTATCGATAATTCCGCAGTCACTCACATGTGATATAACCAAATAATAATAATAATAAAAACCGACATTAATGAATAAATTATTAAATATAGCGCAGGCAGTGCAGCGCCAATTTGTTCGTGAATATGCCTTTAAGTCGGATCTGAAAATCAAATGGGTGCGTCCAGAGAAGATCCCCTGCATCAAGCCAGAAAAGAGTGGCGATCTCTCCAAGCTGCCTCCCCTGAACGCCGACGAGCTTCTTCTGGAATACAAAGATTGCAAGGAGCTGGAAAAGTAAGGAAGTCCAGCAGCCAAATCGTTGCACTGCGGAATGTATTAAGTAATTTTGGTTTGTCTTTCCTAGTGCCGACGACTCTGTAAAATCTCTGTTTAAGCTGACCAACAATGCCAACCATCTGACGACACGTTACTATCGCGATCAGATGGTCAAAGAAGTGCAGAGACATGCCCAGGACTATGGATCCATGGAGTCAAAGTGTATGTATCAAATAATCACTCATTCGTAGTAAAGGAAACAGCAATTACGCAAGTACTCTGCTTGGTTTATGTGTTCTGTTTGGGGTTTTATTATGTTCGTAATCGCACCTGCAAAAAAAACCAACACTCAATAACCCTCGATAATATATGTCCTTTTTTAGTGGCCAACATGACCGCCATTATTCGTCGGTATCAGGAGCATATGGATAAGCATCCCCGGGACAAGATGATTAAGGTGCGTCTCAAGGAGCTGATTGATAAGCGCAAGAAGTTCCTTAAATATCTGAGACGTTGGGACTATCCCCGATTCGAGTGGATATTGGAGAAGCTTGATTTGGTATACAAGCCACCGCCGGAACATTTCCATTGGATTACCCGCAAAGAGTCGCTGCAGAAGTTGACCAACACCTACTGCGAAACCTTGAAGGAGGAACGCCTCGTTGCCTATCACAATGAGCTGCAGGCCCAAAAAATACCCTTTCTAGAAGATGCCATCCGTAAAATGGAATTTATACGAAAAGAGCAAATATCCTGCGATATTCCAGTGACGGTGACCGAGGAGCAAATCGAGCAGTCGAAGAAAGAGTTGGCTCAGTTGGTAGAGCAACGAGAAGCGGCAGCCGCTGTAACCAGCAAAAAACAAGACGAGGATAGCTTCAATTAGGCCCAATTCCTTTATATTATTGTGTCTTACAATAAATGTGAATGCTGATGCTCTTAAATTATGGGTTTTATTATATGTTTTAGAATAATTTGTTGACCTTATTTTGCATGTCATGTTCGGGGGCAGCGCAGAGTTTGTAAATGAAATAAATAAACAAATAAATATCCCCTCCGCGATAAGTGAAGAGAAGCGAAAAACGCAATCAAATTTAGCTAATGTCTGCTGGGCGATGCAGTGCGCTTCTTGCCACGCCTGCTGGTCGACCCACTGCTGTTCGAGCTGCTCGAGGATGACGACGATGATGACGAGTCGCTAGAGCTAGACGAGCTCGACGAGGACGAGGATGATACGGACGATGTGGAATCGCGAGAGGCCCTTTTGCTCCCCTTGATGTCCCTGCTGCCATTGTCCGTTGGCTGCTTGCTGTTGACTTCGGATGAGGTTACTTCATTGTCACCCCATAGATCATACTTGGACAGATCACCATCATCATCATCGTCGTCCTCTTCCTCATCCTCCCCAGCGTCGCTGGCCCTCCTTGCTCGCTTTGGCCCATCACGGTCTTCATGGCTCTTCCGCTTCTTACGGCGCCCAAACTCATCATACTCGCTGTCCGACTCCTGCCGATCCTTGTACTCGACAACTCCACGATCATTGTAGCCACCGCCAAAGCCTAAACCGGTCATCACATTAGCAATCATGTATGCATTTTGCAATGCGGAGAACCTACCAGTTCGCTCCTCTGAATCCGTAAACTTGGGCGAATTACACATGTTGCAGGTCTGCCGCCTGGCCCAGTTCACGTTCGCACACTTGGCGCATTGCCAGTCCTCGGCGCTGAAGAGCCCCCGGGACTTGTCCGCTGCCGCTTTCCCGATCTCGGTGCCCAGCTTCTTCTTGCTGGAGCTACTGCTGCTGCTGCTACTGCCATTGCCCCGGTCACGGTCGCGCTCTGGCTTATCAATGCTATCACGGTCGTGATTGCATTTATTGCATTGCGTGCGGCGTGCAAAATTCAGATGCCGACAGCTGCAAAGTCGTGGGAAAATGACAAAATACACAATTTATTGCATTTCTTCCTGCTGGTCCTTCCTGGGTATTCGCCTTTCCCTTAATCTTTACGCGCACTCACTCATAATCCGGGCAAATCCAATCACCAGGCGAGACGACGCCGCCGCTGCTGGTGCCGCCTGCTGCCCCGCCACTCCCATTAGACGTTGTGGACATGTCTAAGCTCGACTGTAGCTTCTCTGGATGCCACTTAGGACTCTTAGCTCTTCTCAACTCTTAGTTGAAGCATTTAAACGACTTTTATACAATTGTATAAAATTAATTAATTCTGTATACGAATAACATGTATAATGTTCAGTGTGACCGCAGATTTATCGATTAAATAAACAGTGTGACCGTCAGATATATACCGAAATTTATATTTCCAGTGCTGCCATTTTAGCTTTTTTTGAATATATCTTGGATCGATTCTGTTATTATAGCGGCTTTCCTGTTCACTGGGGAGAACAAAAGTTCACTTTAACCCATGTAGCCCACTCCTAAAAAATTGCTATTTAAACTTAAAGTTAAACCGCCGAAAATTATACCCTCAGCAGTGAGAAAACAATTTTATTCGAAAAAGATCATTTTTTTTCTTTACGAAGACAGGTTTCCTTTTTTTATGTCAGCTACATACACCCTTCCTACATGATATGTTTCAATGCTAGAGTCCTGTTTGTAAAACTTCATTGAATATTGACATGTTCTCACGATGACAAGCCTTATTGTGCATAGGAACCACGCAAGTATCCCCAATATAAGTTAATTTGTTTACTTTTAGAGTTTTATTTACTTAGTATACAAACAAAAGCCGCTCCAAAAGTAAACACTGATTTTGTTTCGTCCTTTGTTTGTTGGTAAAAAGGTGTAACTAACGCATAACCAGCAGCTTTTGGGAATTGTCGGTGAGCGTTCCAGCAAGCCGACAACACACACGCACTCGGAATTTGCCAGAGCATTTACTTCTTGCCAGCACCAATCTTGGCCTTGGCGGTACCACGGACCTTCTTCATCCTGTTGCGACGCTCCTTGCGCTGCTTGCGGGTCTGCTTCTTCTGCTCGAAGAGGCCGTGACGGGCCAGGCGGTACTTGGGCTCGAACTTCTTGGCAAAGTCCAGGGTGTCGTAGATCAGGGCGAAGCCAGTGGAGCGGCCGCCACCGAAGTTTGTGCGGAAACCGAACGCAAAGACGACATCGGGAGTCACCTTGTACATGGCTGCGAGCTTTTCGCGGATCTCGGTCTTGTTCACCGACGAGAGTCCTGGGTGCAGAACATCGCAGACCATTTGTTTCCTGGCAAGCAGGCGGTTGGTCATGAACTTGCGGGTGCGGACTGTGGCGGTTGTACCGGACATTTTGACGGAGCTGAAACACAAAAACCACTGATTAGCCAATAGTTCTACACAAAAATTCTACAAAACGGTTTGCCACTACGAGTTGTTGTTGTCTCTGTGCGAATCAACATAACCTCACTGCAATGAATGCTCCGCTGATCACCCCGAGACTCCACGTGTGACACGCCGCCCGCGGCACCAGTTTATACACGCCCTTTCGACACTGCCCTCACGTGCAGGCATGTGCACACTTTTGCAGGGTTCTTTGGGTTCATTTTCAACTGCAATTTTGGAATATTTACCTATTAAAACACTCGAAAACGTTTCAAACACGTCTCACTGCGAACGCGAATTTTAGAAAGGAAGATGGCCGCAGATTTATCGACAAATATACCACTTGGCCCTTGTAAATATACCGTAAATATACCTTCTACGTCAACAAGATATCCGACAGTAGGACCGCAGAATTATCGACAGATCTCGGAAATATACATTCTCATTTTAAATTATACCGTAAATATACCGTAATATTAAATCAATTCATCGATTTTGATGTTGTTTTTGATATTACCAGCTAGTTAGGACTCTCAGCTTTAAAATTTAGTTTTATTCGAATCGACATTCAATTCAAAACAAGATTGGTCTCACTGCGAAAAAATATACCGACAAAATATACCACCTGGCCAAAATATCCCAAACAATATGTCAAATCTGTAAAAGGTCACCCTGATGGCGGAAAAACATCGAAAACAACGATATTTGTACAAGGGGTGGATTTGAAACAATTTAGCTGACCCAATGAACTAAAAGCACTGAAAATTTCCAAAAAAAATATGCATGCTTTTTATGAGCAGCTTGTATCAGAAGAAAACATTGTGGGAAAGTATCGAACAGCGCTGTACGAACTATCGTTTTAATAGCCAGTAGCGAAAAACTTTGGCGCACTTTTCCAACTGATTTAGTTAAATAAAGCCACAAGCTACAATTCAATGCAATGTATTTCATTCTTAAAACTAATTTAATTTGGTGTTCTTGCTAGAGATTTTCTTCTTCCACACGAAAATGGCCACAAAGCACAGGGCCACCAGCAGGCCAACAAAAAATGACGCCACTCCAAAGTAGAACAAAAACAGGTCGAAGAGGTGCAGCTGAGTCGAGGATATGCCGACACCTCGGGTTCTGATCGCAGCTCCCCCCTTGTGCCGTGCCACATAGTTCACCCAGAACATGGCGCTGGCCAGGGCACCAAGCGGTCTGTCCCGAAACTCCAGCGAAACATCCCGAATCGTAACCTGGTACTGCGGCTCCTCCAGCAGTCTGTCTACTGCCCAATACAGGGAAGCAGCGGTAACGTTATCTTGCTCCAGTTTCAGACCAACACCCAGCTTTACTGCCAGGTCCATGTTCTGGCGCTCATTCTGGAATATGGGCAGCCCCAGAGTCGGCACATTTCTAACTATTCCCTCCTGCAGGCTGAGCAGATCACCGTTCATAATGAAGGCGTTCACCCGGGGATGTGCCAAGATGTCGATCTGCGGCACTGCATGCTGGATCATCACGTTCTTGGGCAGACCCTCCAATGTCTTCACATCGTGGCAGGACCAAATGAATCTTTCCTTACGGGCAGCAAAAAACGCCAAGAGCGCTTCGAGCTTCAATTTGGGCAACTCGCCACATGGCTGTTCGTTGCCCAACTGCAAGTAGATGGCTCCGGCACGGGCTTCCTCCAGAAACCGCTTTATATTCCATGGCAGCTCCCGCGGACCTCGAATGTGCAGGCCACCGGCGGGCACAATCTGCTGCACACTCGGACGGGGCGTCATCAGGGGCACGTGGCTGTTCAGCAGGAGCAGAGAAAGCTGATTCGCCTGAAGCTCTGGGACAGTGGATTTCAATTTAAAGTGCTTAGCAATGAGCTGTTCCTGTGCCCCAAAGTGATCCTTTGCGAACCGCTTTCTGCGCGAGATGCACTCTCGGATGTTTCCCAATCTCGCCGAGAATCCCAACGTGGGAATATAGTGGTCAAAGTCAATGGGGGAGCATGCAGCCGGCACCATGGACTCTTGTACTGCCTCCATGTAGTTGCCAAAGTCCGTGCTTACAATGCCAACGATGGGCTTCTGGTGGAAGTGGCCCAGAGCCAGCAGTGCCTCCGTGTAGAAGTAATCCAAAACGATCACGTCGAAATCAAACTCCACTGTGGACTGCTTCAAGAGCTGCTGCAGCGGCTCTTGGCTAAGAAAGTGGTCCAACGCATTGGCTCCGACGACGGCCAGGGACTTGCGAAGACTTTCCATAGACAATCTGCCCAGATCGGCGAGGTTTCCCTTTGGTGCTGCATGCTTTTGCACTGTTCATGGAAAGAGAATGGCACTGAGACTTAGACGGGACTGAGACGCTTACTCACAGTTCGACCAAAATGGATATTCGGGAATAATCGTCTCCGTCACGTTCTCCAAGTGCTCTCCCAGACCGTGTCCCGTGTATACCGTAACCTGTAGAATATTTCCAATGACTTGTCAGTCTTTGCAGCATGAAATACTTACATTGTGCTCCCGGCTGGCCAGCTCCGTGACCAGAGTGCGCATCACCGCAAAATGACTCTCGCTGGCATGTGGGAAGAGCACAAGAATCTTGGCTGCTTGGCCGTAGCAGAGGCACACCAGGGAGAGCACAATCAGCTTAATTTGGATCGCCTGTGGGTACATACATTTCTGAATCAACTTCCTATTGGTACACATCATCATCATCGAGATGATCAAACATTCTCTTATCAGTCAGTTGAGCTGACTGATTGATCCCCCCCGATGACATTGATTGAACTTTTGCTCTCGCAATACCCACCATTTTCCGATGTTGCAACCTTTAGAGGAACTCTAGCTAGTTTACAGCTTCCGAATCCCAAATGCAGTTTGTCTGTTGTGTTCTTCCGGTGGATGCCCTGTTCCTACGCAGACTGAAATTATCTCTATGCGCCTTGACTCTCCAGAAACACAAACTGATTGCGCTCAGAAAAATAATCTTAGAAGTGCGTCCAGAATTTATGCGGTTATAGAGGAAACATGTGTGGCACATGAGACGACTGCCACCAGTCAGACCCACACACTTATGTACATACATATGTAGACTCCTATATTGCTTTCATTAATATATACAAAGTGAATATGGAAACGAACGGGGTAGAGTACGATTGCACTCGTGTAGGGGCATACGATTCCTTCAACTTGAGCGATATCAGATCGACTCTCGCGAGTCTTTTGTTTCTCGCTCAAATGAAGAGTACATACATTACATACATACATACATATGAGCATGTGTTTATGTAGATTGTACATTGTCGGGGGGCAGCTCACTTTACTGCCTTGGCAAATGCAAGTTCATCAAAAAATGTGCAACAGAGCAAATCTTATTTACTAAAAATAATACCTAACCATAGTCTCATGAGCTCATTGCAGTATAACTATTTACTGCCTAAAATATGGCCTTGCACCTGTTTCAATTTGTAGCTTTCAATCAATTCCCACGAGTACCCATTGGGATTCTTTACATTTAAGCATCTGTATATGCACACAGTTGTATGCACTTTAAATTGTCGCAAACATGCAAATCACAAAAATGTGACAAAAGTTTGTTTACCAGCAAAAAGAGGCACAGCGTAAGGCCAGGCCAGAATTAAAGTCAAACAAATTAAGCAAACACTGGCCAAAACTGGTTTTTGTTCCAGTTAAGGGAAGCAGAAGCAAAGTTACCAAAAGAAAGCGTCTGTCTGATGGTAGAAGCAAAAGCCAACGTTTCTGGGGCGGGTGAAGGAACAAGTGCCAAACCGGTTCAATGAACCTGAACATACAGCCGCGAGTAGTGTGGATGGATACACACACAAAAGAGTTGAAAATGATTGCCGATGCTTCCTCTTTTATCACAAAAAATTTTCTTTATTATATGAATGCCATTTCTTTACGTAGAACTGTTGAGTAGTTGTCGAGTTGAGCGTATTTGCTTACTAAACAAAAACGAAACTATAATTTTGGATAAAGTTTTGAATGGTAAATGCAAAATCCAACTTCCTGGACATTGGAGAGTTGGGAGAGAGAAAAATCGATGGTTGCACAATTATGAGTTTTACTTGTGTAGTTCACATTGATTATATTTATTATGGGATGATTAAAATCTGCTGGGGTTGTGCCCTTAATCGGTGGCATCAGTCTTGGCAACGGAGAAGGCCTCGGCCACGGGGATGCTGCCGCTGTTGGCAATGACGACATCCTTGACGGGACGGTCGCGGGCATCGGTGGCACCGTTCTCAATCTTGCGCACCACACTCATGCCGGACAGGATCTTGCCGAAGACAACATGGCGTCCGTCCAGCCAGCTGGTCTGCTTGGTGGTGATGAAGAACTGAGAACCGTTGGTGTCCTTGCCAGCGTTGGCCATACTCAGCCAGCCGGCGCCATAGTGCTTCAGCTTGAAGTTCTCATCCTCGAAGCGTTCGCCGTAGATAGAGCGTCCGCCGGTGCCGTCACCCTTGGTGAAGTCGCCGCCCTGGATCATAAAGTCCTTGATGATGCGGTGGAACTTGCTTCCCTTGTAGCTGTGGGATTGAAAAACACACACATTGTTGTCCCATTAAGGCAGATAAACAAATTAGTTAGAGATAGATATTTTCTTTGTCAACTGATTGGCGTCTGAAACGCCACGTAATTGCTAAACTGACTTTGCCTTGGGCTAACCTATAAATGTGTGTACTAGTGTGCGTGTGCCGTTAATCAAGCGCATCTTATGTACTCACCCCTCGCCCTGTGGCTTCTCCGCCAGCTCCTTGAAGTTCTTCACGGTCTTCTCAACAGTCTTGCCGAACAAGCCGATCTCAATGCGCCCGGCGGGCTCACCTCCAATGGTGATGTCAAAGAAAACCTACGCAAACACAATTCATATATTACACATTAATATTAAAAAACAACAAAATCGCGTCTGATTTATTGCCATTGTCTGTATGTATGCATGTATGTATGCGTGCAAGCGATGCTACCGACGCTTTCAAATTCTCTTATGTTCATGCATGCACAACTAGCACCGGGAGCACAATTCTTACCTTGTCGGTCACTTTGGGCCCTTTGCTCTCATCGGCCACCACAATGCCGGCCACCAGAGCCACCAAAAACACAGATAATGCCAACTTCATGGTTCCAGAATTTTTCGAAGAATAAAAAAAATTGTGATTGCGGTGGCTTATGTCAGATTGTGCCAGTGATACTTCAGAATTATCGATAAAATATACCGACATACAATCGGAAATATACCGAAATATACTCTAAATATACCGTAGTCTTGAATAAAATTCCTCGATTTTGATGTTCTATTTGATATTACAAGCAGTCTAAGACTCTCAGCGCTAACGCAATAATTTTTTTTTATTTATCAATCAATTATCTACAAAATAGTTTATGTGTATTGGGTTGTACATAAAAAACGCTAAGGAAAAGAAGCTAAACCAAAAGAAGCGTTTATTTACATAGTAGCTACACGGTAAGTACACATTTGCTACATGTCATGAACCACTTTAAGGAGTTTGCACTTTTTGCACCCTATTTTCAAAAATATATGTTAAATGTTTGTCATTCAATTTTTCATTTGGCACGTATTCCAACGATTCATGCATTTAATTCACTCAATTGTATACACATATCTCAATCCAGATGCAAATTCTTGACGCCATAAATTACAAAATGAGCTGAGTGATACAGTCTACATATCAACAAATAAAAGAACAAATTGAATACGAACGCCTAACAAAGATTTTTCCCCTTTTAAAAACCCTCGTCCTTTTTACCTCGTTGAGCAACTTAAACTCTCGCGGGACTCAATTTTTAAACCAATGCAGTGTTAAACGAGTGCAGATAAGCACACGGGAGTTACGGGAGAATCCGATTATGACTTCAGGCTACCATTCGAGAACCGCTTCAGCTTCACTAGGTGAGGGCTTTATAAAAAAATCTCACCCTTTTCACCTGGTTGATCAATTTAAACTCTCGCGGGACTGAACTTTTAAACCAAAAAAAACCAAAATATAATATAAATATACCGAATTATACCGCATCCCAAATAATTTTCGTCGATTTTGATATTCTTTTTAATATTACCAGATAAAATGCTTTCTCAGCACTAGAACTTTCATTTTATCCAATTATTAAATGATGTTGTAAGTGGGCGGCCAAAAGTTCCCCAGAAATATACCAAAATGAGTATCAGCTGCCGACTAGACTTGTCGATTAAATTGCGAATTATACCACTTTTAAGTAACCCTGGAATCAAAAGTGCTGAAACTTTCGTGACGTCACAACTCTTCGAATGTAAATGAAAACCTATCTTATCAATATACATATCTGATTTAGGAATGGCCAAACTAAAGGACCAGAATCGAATCACCTCCAATCCGATTCGTGAATTTTCTTGGTTCAACTTTTCAATATAATGAAAATGTTGGGGCAGGTTGGAATCTGCTAATAGATATTGATTAATTGGCAAATCAATGCCCGTGCTCTTGGGCACACCCCATCTAACTATGCTAGTCTGTACATAGGCATGTCAAAAAATACCCCCAATCATTACTCAAGTTTGGCAAAACTATGGATAAACAATACAATACAAAAAGCAATGCAAATTAGACTTGTGAACAAAATGGATCTGACTTTATTGATTACGTTGTTAAAAGAAACATTTTTCAACTAAACTTTTGTCCTGGTTTTATTTTTCGCAAATTTTCGAATTGGGGAGTTAGTTCTCATCGACCTCAGCCTCTTGCTCCTCC